AGGGGTTCCAAAGTCTTTAATAAATCACCACATAAGCAGGGCGCTGATCGATCAGGACTACAGGACAAGGGAGCCTTGTTTCTCCTGGCAGCCCCAAGCAGGGGGAGAAGCAGAGTTTATAAGCACAAAAACCACAGGCATTTGTTGCCAAGTTACTGTTACATTTTTCATCAATCAGAAGTCAGAGACTAGGGACTTTCCTCGTGTATTCCATCATTGTCAACAGACACAAAATGTAAGACTTTCAATCCAACCAATGGGATTCATTTGTTCTTTCTGTTGTTAGGAACAGCCATAATGTCTTAGAGAACTAACAGGCATAAGAGACTGCTCCTACTGTATAAGGAGGAGGTACGTCAGCTATTGGAAGGTTCCCAGCTCCCCTAGGGCCTAGGAACTTGAACTGTGTTTCATCCTACAGGTAAAATGGAGTCTGAAGTCAAAACGGCAGTACTTAGGCCAAGGTGCTTTTGCCTGCTCCCTTCAAGTAGGCAGAGATAGGTAGATCTCTGTGAGTTGGAGGCTAGCCTGGTCTACATATCAAATTCCAGTATATCCAGGGCTACCTACTGAAGACCCTGTCTCAGAAAACAATAACAACAATAAACAAACAAACAAAAGTATTGTCATATATGTTACTTTAAAGCATTACCAGACAAGAGTTTCCTCTTTAGTCTGCCTGGTCAGTTATCAAGTGCTTGTATATTGTATGGCATATCTTCAATTTATACAGGATCCTAAGTAGGGATATAATCCAGGATGGACAGAGAAGAGCAAAGGTATCTTGTTTAACTCCTTGTCTCCCAAGTGCTGATTCCATGTTATAGGAACCAGGCATTAAGAGGAATACATGACTCAAGCCTGACTTGAAGTCTCCAGATTATACTAAATTAGGGATGGGTACCATGGCGAATTGTAAACTAGAGAATATATACCCCCATGAAAAAAATCCATATAAAGCAGGATATGCTTAACACCAGATATTGAAAGCCCTGTGAAAATAATTCTGTCTCAGCCTCACTATCTAACTTATTGAGACAGCTGGGTAAGAACCAGTACAGGTTTATTAAATATTGGCTAAATGAAATCTTCAGTGTAACGTGGGCTATAGTTAAGACCCTGCCTAAAAAAAAAGTCAAAATACAGAAAAAGTGCATAGAAAGAATAAACCTCCACCCTTCAGAGTGAGGCAGGCAAGCACAAGAGTTCATTTAGCCTGTGACTGTATTCAGCTTGGGTTATGTAGACCTCTTTTCATGTAGTAAAGCACTTAACAACCTAGTCCTTTTACCTGTATATACTATGCACACACACCTCTGAACAATACACCCAACTACCTCCAAATGCCCTCAGACTGGCATCTGCATCAGGCTATTCATACACTGATCTCTGAACAGTAAGATAAATGTGCGTGCCCTTAACAATTAAATTTAGATAGTTTCTAGTCAAATGTATTTCCAATGCAGTTAAGTACAAAGCATAGAAATGTGGTCTGGCTTCAACTGGTTTTGAGTACATGTGCAGTAAAGGCAAAATTGTATCAAGAAGTTTTTAGGGAAAATCCCCTATTTACCTTATTATGTCTATTCATAATTTGGGCATACATATGATTAAAATCAGATGAATTATTGGAAAGGATATGTACAGCATAAAAATAATTATGGAGCCCGGGCGGTGGTGGCACACGCCTTTAATCCCAGCACTTGGGAGGCAGAGGCAGGTGGATCTCTGTGAGTTCGAGGCCAGCCTGGACTAAGTGAGTTCCAGGAAAGGTGCAAAGCTACACAGAGAAACCCTGTCTCGAAAAACCAATAAAAAAAAAATAATAATTCTTACTGTTTAGCTGGGCGGTGGTGGCACACGCCTTTAATCCCAGTACTCAGGAGGCAGAGGCAGGGAGATCTCTGTGAGTTCGAGGCCAGCCTGGTCTCCAAAGCGAGTTCCAGGAAAGGCGCAAAGCTACACAGAGAAACCCTGTCTCGAAAAACCAATAAAAAAAAAAAACTTCTTACTGTTTAGCTGGGCGGTGGTGGGGCACGCCTTTAATCCCAGCACTCGGGAGGCAGAGCCAGGCGGATCTCTGTGAGTTCAAGGCCAGCCTGGGCTACAGAGTGAGTTCCAGGACAGGCTCCAAAGCTACACACAGAAACCCTGTCTTGAAAAACCAAAAAAAAAAAACAACAAAAAAAAAAGATTATGACCTAATCTGTCAATCAAATTAAAGAACTACCTGTACTACACCTGTTAGCAATCATAAAAGGAAGCCACAAATCAGAGAGGTCTTAGTACCCTCCCTCCGGTGGACTGCAGCTTTCCTGCAGGGCATTCTAGTCATTTCTTTTTTTCTTTTTGTTTTTCCAGGCAGGGTTTCTCCGTGTAGTTTTGGTGCCTGTCTCTGCCTCCCAAGTGCTGGGATTAATTAAAGGCGTGTGCCACTGCCGCCCGGCATTCTAGTCTTTTCTATTGCTTTGCTTTGAATAAAATCTCTTGGCTACTTCTGAACTTAGGTGAGTTATTATTTTCAATTTTGGGGGAAATAGGCTGAAAATGGAGAAACATTGGCCTCCGACCACCAGTCACAAGAGAGTGCTTAACTTGGTAGCAAATGGGATAGACTTGGGTCAGGAAGGGAGCCCTCATCTTCAACTCTATTAGGAATGTCTTATTTCCGTAGCAGATAGCAGATAATTCTTTATATCAATTTATATACACTGCCCCCGCCAGGGGTTGTTTTTGCTTTAGTTTTGAGACAGTGCCTGGCTAACATTGCCATAACTGGCCTGGACTCCCACCTGCCTCACCCTCCAGATACTGGGATTATAAACTTGAACTACCATGTCCAATTCAGTTTACAACGACCTTGTACGTGTGAAATGTCAAGAGGAGTTAGGAAGTGCTGGGAACACTGCTAAGACGACGCAGGAGGAACTCAGATGCCAATTTCCTATGGTTTGAGACTGAACCTTGACTCACTGTCAGTGTGAAATCGATACCTTCTCAGAGGAGATCTTCCCAAGCAAGTCTACTTGGTACAATGCAGTCACGTTTTCTTTTCTTGAACCAACATTGACGTGTCCACTTTCGGTGTCATCGCTTGTTAGCAGCTCAACATTGTTCCACATGTTTCTGAGATTGTCTGTGAGGAAGGAACCACTCTCTTTCCTGGAACAACATATAAAGTGACAGACCGAATTATCTTTGTTCATAGAATTCAGTTCTTTGGGTAATGAAGTGTTAATCAAAGAACAAAAATTAGTGTCACTACATTAAAACTTAACTTCAAACTGGACAGTGACAATGAATGCCTTTAATCCCAGCACTCGGGAGGCAGAGGCAGGCAGATCTCTTTAAGTTTGAGGCCAACCTGGGCTACAGATCCAGTTCCAGGGCAGCCAGCCCAGTTACATAGTGAATCCCTGTCTCGAAAACAAAAACAAACAAACAAACAACAAAAAGGGGGTTTAGGTTTCAGGTTGTATATGGTAATGGGGGGGGATACCGAAAGTTAGGTGCATGGCAGACAAGTGCTCCAAGCTGGCTACACCCTCTGGTTTCTACCTTCATCCAAAATGACACCTGAAACCCAGGCGAGACTTTAACACTCTTGTTAACAAACACAACTCCTATCACCTGTGATCTGAGTGGGACTGAAATATTAAGGTAGAAAATGTCCCTAGCTAACTGTTAAGATCTGAGGGAAGGAAGGTGCTACAGATGGCTTATCAGTTCAAAGTGCTTGCTGCTCCTCCAGAGAACCAAACTTCAGTGCCCAGCACTCACACCAGATGGTTGACAACTACTTGTTAACTCCAGCTCCAGGAGATCTGATGACCTCTTCTGCACGCGCGCGCGCGTGCTGTGCGCGCGCGCGCGCGCACACACACACACACACACACACACACACACACACACACACACACACTTAAAAATAATAATAATAATATTTTTTTTTAAGTCTAAGAGCAGGGCAGTGGTGGCAAATGTCTTTAATCCCAGCACTTGGAGGCAGAGGCTGGCAGATCTGTGAGTATGAGGCCAGCCTGGTCTACAGAGCGAGTTCCAGGACAGCCAAGACTACCCAGAGAAATCCCATCTCAAAAAGTAAATAAATAAAGTGGAAAACGGTGGGAAAGACCTAAGTCTTCAAGACTGAATTTTCTACTTAGTGCATGGAAGCTAACTACGCGAACGGGTGATAAGAACAGACTTTTGGCATCATTGACTGAGGGAGGAAAAAAAGGAGCCAATACAATATCATGAAGGAGATAAAACACAGTCAGTGGCCGGGCGGTGGTGGCGCACGCCTTTAATCCCAGCACTCGGGAGGCAGAGGCAGGTGGATCTCTGTGAGTTCGAGGCCAGCCTGGGCTACAGAGTGAGATCCAGGAAAGGCACAAAGCTACACAGAGAAACCCTGTCTCAAAAAACAAAAAACAAAAACCCACAGTCAGTGAAGCTATCCACGAACGCTCAGAGGGCCAGCCATGTAGAGTCACCTCCAACTTTCCCCCGCGCCAGCGTCTAGAGGGCGAAAAGCCCCGAAACGGGCTGAAGCGGCTTCTGTTTTCACCTGACACGACTCCCTCTTCCCTACAGCAGCGCGGTTGACCCCTCTCACCTGCAGCTGAAGAAACTAAAAGAGAACTCTCGAGTGTTTCACACTTCTTCCTGACTGACACAACCGCCCCTACCCATTTTAGCTTCCAAGCCACTGACTTGAATTGGCGGGAGAATACCGAGCCCAACCCCTTCTACGGGGGCTGGAGGAGGCCAAAATTCTCTCACACTCGAACTAGGAAACCGCCCCGCCCGAGATCAAATTGAATCCCCGCTCCCCGCCGCGGATTCATTCTACGATGTATTCTCGGCCCCACCCACTTCACGGGCCACACGCCACGCCCTTCGAAAGTCTAACCAATCACCATCTCGAACCGCGTTGTTATAGAAACTCTTATCACCACCCCTTTTTTCTCCCAGCAAGCTGCGCGCCCCGCCAGGCCTCATCCCTTTTGTGCCATCCGGGTCTCTCGCGCCAGAGATAAAGTCTGTGGCGAAGCTTCGGGGCGGCCAGTACTGTTGAGCGCGTCCAGCGGAGGCGCCGCCTTAGCGGCCGGGACCCAAAAACAATGGCGGTAGGTACTCACTCGAGCCTGAAGCCAGGGCTAGGGTTTTGTTTGGGTCTCTACACAGAGTGAACAGCTCTCGGAGCTGCGGTCCGTGCTTGTGTGTGGACAAAATGGCGCCGCGGCCGCTTTCTGCGCTCGCCATCATGGCTTCCTGCTGCAGGGAGGGGGAGGTAAGGCGGTGTGGATGGGGGTGGGGAGCCGCAGGGAATGGCTCCTTTTTTCCAGAACTTTCCTCGTCCCTTCCCTCATCCCGTGTTTCTTCAGATGCCCACCGAACTGTGGGATTCATCTCGTTGACCCAGACTAGGGGTATGTGTCGCGCTTTGGTAGGGCTTCTGAGTCTATGCTTCCACTGGAGAAATAACGACTGGAAAAGGCCAGAAGGCGTCTCTGGAAAGTATCGGGTCAGAAAGGCAGTCTGTTCGAGGGACGATGTGTGAGGAAACAGTCGCAGGCCTTTGAGCGAACCCTTAGTGAGATGGGGTACTTTGCCTCCTCCTGCTTAGTGTTTGTCGGTGTGGATCTTCTCCTCGGCTGGAGTTGGGATTGTCTTAAAGAGTGAAAATTTGTCCAGTTATCCAGTTCCATTCCCTGGTACTTGTGCCTCAGAGCGACTCGTGTTTCCATTTTAAGTCTTTGAGAACCGCGGGGCCTTGTTTCTTTGAAGACCCCTTTCTTGACCCATATCAAAACCGTACCTAAGTGGCCTCTTTGGACAGGATATGCTATGCCCGTTTTTAATGAATCCTATCATCCTGTGATTGTTTTGTTTCTAGTTATAGAGAGAAAATATTCTTCTGAGCATTATGTATTCATCCCTTTTACTGACTAAAAGGTTTTAACTTCATATTGTAGACAAGGATTGCTCTTCCTGATAATTGGAATATTTGAAATTAGAGTGGTACGAGTCGTTTTTCTGCATCTCACTACTCTTTATGTCTAGTTGAATTTAAAGTAATTTTTATGAGGTTTCAAAGAGTAGATAAGCTTTTTTAAATTGTGGGACTGGTACTTCTAAGTTGTGTCTTGGGCCTCTTCATATACTTCAAGTAAAGAGTAGTGTTGTTTTTTGTGCTCCATAAATGAATTCGAATACTTGGATTCCGCAGTGTCCTCTACTGTAAAGACAATCCCCCAGAGAACTGGCCTAATATTGAGTATGCTGCTTACCTTCCTTTGCGTTGGGAAAGCATTTACATGCTCTGCTTCAGATAGGGTTTTCAAGATATACTTTTTTTTTTTTTTTTTTTTTTTTGGTTTTTTTGAGACAGGGTTTCTCTGTGTAGCTTTGCGCCTTTCCTGGAACTCACTTTGTAGGCCAGGCTGGCCTCGAACTCACAGAGATCCGCCTGGCTCTGCCTCCCGAGTGCTGGGATTAAAGGCGTGCGCCACCACCGCCCAGCTCAAGATATACATTGTAAGAAATGGGTGGCTTTCTCACAGACCCAGCAACTACATAGAAGGCAGTTTGCAGGCCGTGTTTTTAGGGATTTCTGCTAAACTGAAGTAAAGCTGAGTAGTTTTGCTTAATAGGACTTCCTTGTATTGTAAATATCCTTAGAAAAATGAAAGTTGTATTTTGTCAGGGACCATCTAATATTACGTGTGTTTAATGGTGTGGGTTTTGTTCCGTAGTGTTTTTTCCATGTGAAAGTGACAACTACTAACCTGTGTCACATAGTGGTTCTTCTGTGGCAGAATAAACATTAGTGGACTAAATGGTGTCTTTTTCTATAGTTTTCAGTTCTCTATTGGTTCTCAGGAAAATGAGCGTGTTTTACATGGCTGTGATCCTAACAACTGGAAGGCTGCAGCAGGCGCTTGTAAAGTTTGAGGGCCACTGTGAACACAAAGCAGGCATCCTCCTCAAAGCTTCGGTGGGAGGTGGTGCCTGTGATTTATGTTTGAAGTGCTTTTTTAGGTTGAGAGGGTATATCTCAGGCCAATCTGAAGTCTTTTCTAAGGTTAGTGAGAACAAGAGTGAAAGAAAATGTGTTTTAGATCACTGTCACTCTTAATGGTGTAATAGAGCAACATGGATCACTAGTGGGTAGCAAAGACAGAGAGATTGCGGTATTTTAGGGGCATCCGCTAGTGTTTCTGGTTGTCAGCTGTAAAGTAAGGTTGACCTTGATTCTGACGGATGAATGCCTTTCACCACAAAATTATTCCAGTCCTGGAAAAAAAGAGCATGGCTAGTGGGATAAGAACCTCCCCTGCAGCTAGCTTCCTTTTTGTTTCTTACTATTCCTATTGAGGTGTACAGGTGGTAGTTTAGCACATAATTTATGCATTTCACCTCCAGTTATAAGTTTGTCCTTTTAATTATGTGTACTTAACTGCTGAGCCATCTTTCCAGCCCCCAAATCTGTCCTGTTTCAAAGTGTGTAGTTTTATTATTGGAATCTGGTACTGGTTTTGACCCATTTTTATACCTGAGTAAAATAAAACACTTCCTTTATTTTGGTACCTTATTTTCTGGACTAATCTTCCCAAGGGAAAAGAGTCAATCATGATTCTTGATGAAAGACTGTAGTTATCTTCCCCCTGAAGTCCTAAGTCAGAGATTGGTAAACACTTGGTGAAAAGGAGCAGCTGGTGAATACTTTTGGTTTTATGGGTAATGTGCAATCTTTCACACTGTTTACTTGCTTTACCAACCTTTTTAAATACAAAAAATTATTCTTCTGGGCTCAATGACATGGGTTTTTAATCCCAGCAGAGGCAGGTAGATACCTGATTTTGAGGCCAGCCTGGTCTGCAGGATGAATTCCGGGCCAGTCAGGGCTACATAGAGAAACTTTGTCTCAGAAAGAAAGAAAAGAGCACAAGAGTTCTGCAGAAAAGTAATGTCTTTGCCAACTCCTGTCCTGAGGCATCTGTTCGCTGGGTGAACAGATTTATTTTCCTGTTATTTTCCTTCTCCAGTCAGATACCTGCGGTTCCACTACATACGGTTCAGATCTGTTTGTTTTCCAGTGCCTCTTACCAAAATTCAAGCAAATGTTGGGTTTGGTGGTATGTATCTGTAATTGCCGTTTCAGGGCTTGTCTTACCTATGAAATGTTATCTGAAACTCAATTCAAGGGAACTTTCAGGTTTTAGTATATACTTGAAAATAAGATACTTTCTATTATTCCAGCTTAAATCAGATCATTAGTAATTTTTATTGTTGTTCGTTTGTGTCCTCCCACCCCCACCCCAAGATTTCTCTCTATAGCCTTGGATGTCCTGGAACTAGCTCTGTAGACCAAGCTGGTCTCAAACTCAGAGAGGTCCACATGCCTGTCTCCTGAGTGCTGGGATTAAAGGCGTGCGCCACCGCCACCACGCAGGACTTTTCTTTGTAATTAAAATATTCTAGCATTTCATACATGAGTACTGTTATACATCATTTGCACCCCTCTGTAGTAGTTCTATGGTAAGACATTATTTGGATTGCACAGTTCTCAGAAGCAGGGCTGGTGGTGGTTGGAGGTTTTTTTTTCCAGCACTGGTGATTTAAGACAGATCTTCATACTTGAAGCAAGCGGTTCTACCACTGACCTACATCTTCTACCATAAATAGCTTTAGTGAGGGGGATACAACTGAAATTCACATCTTGAGCATTTATTCGTGGGCTTTTATGCTGGTTGCTGTTACGAGTACAAAGATAGGTGGCCTTCTGTGAACTAGAAAGTGACAAGAAACTGAACCTTAGGTGAATCAGGTCTCTGAAAATGTGTGTGCCGTTGTGTTTTTGTTTTGGTTTTGTAAGTGTTGGGACTTACCTCAGTGATAGAGAACTTGCCTAACAATCATGAAACCCTGGGTTTAATCCATAGCACTGCAAAATAAAATTTATATTGTAATATTGCCTATAAAATGCTTTAACGTGGAAACGGCTTGATGTTTCCATAGCCCAGAGCATAAATACGGAGAGGCAGAACATGTTTTGCTGTACCTCTGTGCCAAGGGGATATTTTCATTAAAGAAGGTTAATTAGGTTCTCAGGTAAGGTAATTTTCTGCTTATTCTTTTATAATCTAGAAATGCTCCCTATGCTGCTTTAATATCTTATAGTTCTAAGTACCTATAAACCTTTTAACAGCTCATTCTAGATAGCTTTTTAATAATAATGAACAGCGATTTGATTGCTGGCAAGTCAGCAGATTTAATTCACACATCTAAAGTTTTATAGTTTCTTTAAATATTTATTGGAAATACCAAGAGCCAAGTCTTTTTATTTTTATACCTGTTACTTTGCTATATATACGTCCACTTGGAAATTAGCCATATATAGGTTTTGGTTTTCTTTTCTGGTAAAACTCAACTGTCTTCATTCCTTGCCCTTTTAAAAACCAAGAGACATTGGAAATGCAATTACAAACTTTGATTTTTATTTTTAACTTTTAGGCTACTGATGCAGAACGAGATGGACTAGCCCCAGAAAAGACATCCCCGGATAGAGAAAAGAAAAAAGAGCAGTCAGATGTGTCTATTTCTCCTAGAACCTCAAAACATCACTATTCAAGGTCACGGTCAAGATCAAGAGAAAGAAAGCGAAAATCAGGTAAGGAATTTGATGGGCTGAAACGTTGCCTAGATAGTGGTATATTCTGAATTTACTTAACACACTGTAACTATGTGTTGTAGCACCTACATGGGGATGTTTCATTTTGTTTTTTCTTCCAGCACTAAGTCTAGAACCTCGTACTCTGCTGAGTAGTCCCTACCATTTCATCACACCCCAAGCCCTGCAGTGCTACAAGGACAGAATGGACTCCATAGTAGTTCCAGGCTAACCTAGGCTGAATAGTGAGACAGTGTCTCAAGTAACTAGCCTTAAAGGCAAACATTTTGCTGTTGAAAGAAAGCAGGGCTGTGGTGACTTTAGTGTGGAGTGCCTAGCTTACATAAGAACATTGTAATCAGATGTTTCCTGTCCCGATCTCCTGGTTCCAAATAACCAACTCAGGCTGACTATTACTACTTAAAAATGCTCAGCCAATAGCTCAGGCCTGTTACTAGCTAACTCTTACATTTAAATTAACCGATGTTTCTATTTATGCTTTTACCATGTGACTCGTGGCTTGTGGCCTTTTTTGTTGGTTTTGGTTTTGGTTTGGGGGACAGGGTTTCTTTGTGTAACAGGCTTGACTGTCCTGGAACTCACTCTGTAGACCAGGCTAACCTCGAACTCACAGAAATCTGCCTGCCTCTGCCTCCCACATGCTGGGATTAAAGGAGGGCACCACCACTGCACGGCTTGTTACCTCATTTTTCACACGACTCACAACTGCCCTGACTCCCTTCTCTCCCAGCATTCTCCCTGTGTCAGGCTGTTAACAATGAGCATAATACACAGCAGAGCCTAACATTGCAAAGATTTTTTTTTTTTAGTATGTTTAAATCTCTTGGGCATTGTGATCACATTTAGAGTGAACATTTTCAAGCTTGATAAGACATTGCAGGATGATCAAAAATTAAAATCCATTCTGGGCTACATAAAACCCTGCCTGAAAAAAAAAAAGAATAAGAGAAAGGAAGTTTCTAGCTAACGTCCTTTTAACTATAAATCATGTCAAATTTAACCCAGACTGACGCTCCTTTGTGCTGGGATTGTGTGTGCTCAGCCCAAATCTGTTTTAATTTTTTTTTGTTTGTTTTGGGAGTTTTTATGTACACACATACATGTCCATGAATATATCTGGATGTTTATTTAGTATGTGTGTGGTATGTTGTGTGTGAGAGGTCTGTGAAGGCCAGGAGTTGACATCCAGTGAGATGGCTTAGTGTGGGGAGAGCACTTATGTGTAAGCCTGACAACCAAAGTTCAACCCTCAGAACCCCACATAAAGGTGAAAGGAGGGAACCAGCTCCTGACCTGTACACATGGACACATAAGTAGTAATAAACTGGCCAGGCCTGGTCTGCATAGCAAGTGCCAGTCCCTGGCCAGTCAGGGTAACATAAAGTCATTCTATTTCAAGGGAAGGGGAAGGGGGAGTGACTAAAAGAAAATGTAGTCTTTGGAAGACACAGCCCTCACTAGAAATTTCGAAAGTAGTGGTTTTGATTGCTTCCCCCCCCCCTTTTTTTTTTTAATTTATGTTAAAGATGTTTGTGTATGTTTATGTTATTTTTGGCTTTTTTGTGTGTTCGCAGATAATGAAGGAAGAAAACACAGGAGCCGGAGCAGAAGCAAAGAGGTAATTAACACTTTAGTGAATAGGTACTTTAAAATTCTTGTAAAGTGTCTGGTAGAAATGTTTGTGTGACTATTTGCCATTGTCAAGGTAAGTACCAAAACTTGAAATTTAAACGGTTAATTGGGTTTTTAAATAAGCATGATTTGGATTCATCATTTTTCAAGAAGATAGTTGTGTATATAAAAAGTGCCTTCAAAAGCTATTAACTTTTATTATATTGTGAAAATATTCACAATAAAAAATAGCATATGAAGAATAAGCTGGATTTTTAGGCCTGTGATACAGAGCTTCCATTAATTAATCTGAGGTCCCAGGTCTCCGTATCCTTGACAACTGCTCAAGATTTTTAAGTGTCGGTCATCTTTATCATTATTCTATTTGTGGGCTCCTTTTCTTCATTGAAAGCACTGAGTTTCCTTTCTTTTCCTTAGTGAAGCTAGTCCAGAAGTCAGCCTTATGCTGTTGGAATAAAAATGTGAGGGACAGCTGGAGAGGTGACTTTTCACTACAGCCTTAGGAAAAACAGAGGCAGCAGCTGTACTGCATAGGAGTTAACTTGCCTCCCCCACCTAAGAAGATGAGGACTGAGCTACCCAGGAAGAAAATCAGCAGTGAGAAAGGGAAAAGAGCCTCAGGGGGCTGGGCAAGGGACTCCGAAATCCAATATGGGCAGGGACTTCACCTCGTCCCCTAATGGAAGCTCTGTTAAATTTTTAATTTAGGAGAGTTTTTGTGAAAATGACTATTTTGTTTAGCTCACATGATAACATTTCTATAATAAATCATACTCAGCGTGCTAATGCGCGAAGAGACTGAACTGAAGACGCTGCAGACTCAGATAGCAAAATAATAAGCCTACTTCATGATAAGGTAACTATTAGTCATTCAAACTCCTATTTCCCTTAAATATATCTTAAATCAGTTAAGGGTTTAATGTTTTATAAAATTAATAGTAATGTTATGTTTGAAAACTGGTTTAAACTCTTATTAAAGTTTCTGGAATTGAACCGTTTATAGCATTTCTAGTCTGCCAATATATGGCAGAGTTGAGAAAGTTGTAAGGTCATAGAGAACTGGTCTTGAAACTAAGGTTTAGCTCGTGTCTCCAGGTCTCTTGTTAATCTGCAAGATAAAAAATCACTATGATCATTTTCTGATGTATCATTGTGCATGTTCCTAAATGATTGACTCCACTTTTTTGGTTTTTTTGTTTGTTCGTTTCTTGACTCTGTATTTAAAGTTAACCTCTAGTCAAAAGCAATATGCTATGGCCTATTTTGGGAAATATCTGTGTTGTGTTACAGTGGAGAAATGGTAGCCTGAGCAACAAAGGATGGGTCCCTGGCCCAGTTGAGTTACTGTGCCGCTTTGTGTTTTCACCTCTTGTTTCTATGAAATAGGAGAACAGTTTAGAGGATCTGAATTTCTCTTAGATTTAAGTTTAATAACCCTGAGTGGTGGGGGATTTAAGCTTTCACAAGGTGGCTTTCACATGTTTGGGTTGGGAAGTAAATAATAATTCCAGATTTGACATTTGAGTGGTAAGGTTGAGATTTGATCATACACTTAAGTTCAAAGTATGTATTTTATGATGACATAGGAATTGCTACCCCTGGTTTACATTTTTTGCTTCTCAATTAAAAATGGTAGTGCTGTTTTCAACCGTAGGTTCAGAAAATATAACAGAGCTGTAAGCCTGTTGGGATTGTGCAGGCTGATAAGTGATTGCTCCCTGGTTTGTAGACATTGAAAGATAAGGTCTTTGGAGAGAATGGGGCCAGAAATGAGGTTAGTTGAGGGGGGCATTGCTACTCCGCATAGTTTGAAATAGCAGTAAGTATTAACTTTTTGTTAAAGTAGACTTTGCTGCTTTTTTTGAAGTGCATTTTGTGAAGCATTGCTTTGTGTTTTTACTATTATCTCTTTTTTTGTTTCTTTTTGCTGTTACTGGGGATTAAACCTTGGACTTTATGCAGGCTAGTGAAACACTGCTGCCGAGGTACATCCCTCAGTTCCATTATTTTTATTTGTTTGTTTTGTGGTTGGGGGAAAGGTTTGGTTTTGTTTTGTTTTGAGACAAGGTTTTTCTCTGTATCCCTGGTTGTTCTGGAACCAGGCTGGCTTCAAACTCAGGTATTTCCCTGCCTCTGTCTCCCTAGTGCTGGGATTAAAGGTGTGTGCCACTACACCTGGACCTATTTTTTAAACTTAGTAGTGTGTCCTTTGGATTTAGAATGGGTTTTGTTAATTTTTTAAGAATGAGGATTCCACTTGAACCATGGCTTTCAGTATCTATTTTTTAAATCATTATTTTAAAAATACTTCGGGAACAAACTGCAATTTTGTATCTTAATCAGAAAATTGTAATTACATATGCAACATTTAGGTGATATGAAACTAGATGATTTTATTATTTGCCACACATTCCTAAGGTTACTAATGTTGCATCACAACATTTTTGTTTACTGATACCCATACTAACTCTTTTTGTTGCACTATTTTCCTGAAAGAACCAACTTCTTGTTAAAACAGGCAAGAAGACATGAATCCAAAGATAAGTCCTCTAAGAGACATAAGTCTGAGGAGCACAATGACAAAGAACATTCTTCTGACAAAGGAAGAGAGCGATTAAATTCATCTGAAAATGGTGAGGACAGACACAAACGCAAAGAAAGGAAGTCATCACGAGGCAGAAGTCACTCAAGATCTAGGTCTCGTGAAAGGTAACTAGTTTGGGTGGTGAGCCTCGGTGCCTTCCAGTACCTTTAACTTGTAGGTTATTCCTAGCATTACACACATAATCTTAGATAGGGTATTAGTTATTTCTCACTACCTTAATGTAGTTCTTTACCAGCTGATATCTGAAGGCTTTTAGAATCTTAGAATATATTTCAGTAGTAGAGAACTATCATGTCCAAAGTCCTGGGATTCAGTCCGCAGCAGTGGAAGAAAATCCATTTGGGTCTTTCTCATAAATCCAAAAGTGGCTCCAAAGCCACATTTAATTAGTGGCTAGATGAACTTTAACCTTTTTCCTTGTATTGAAAAGGTTACATTGTGGGAACTGGAGAGGTGGCTCAAGCGGTTAAGAGCACTGGCTGCTCTTCCAAAGGACCAGGGTTCAATTCCCAGCAACCACATGGCAGTTCATAATTGCAACTCCAGTTCCAGGGGATCAGACACCCTCATACAGGCATACATGCAGGCAAAACCTAATGTACATTAAATAAGTCTTTTTTTTAAAAAAAGGAAGAAACAAACGTTTCGTTGTTAAACTTTATTAACCCAGAAACTATTATTTTATAGGATTGGTGTAAAATTTGTTACCTCTTTAACTTCTGTTCTACATTTTCGTTTTTTGGTTTGGTTTGGTTTTGGGGATTAGAGGTGTCCAGATCGGGTTTTCTCTGTGTAACAGTCCTTAGCTGTCCTGGCATCTGCTTTGTAGACCAGGATGATCTCAAACTCACAGAGATCCACATACCTCTGCCTCCTGAGTGCTGGGATTAGAGGTGTGCAGCGCCACCACCTAGCTGTTGTATATTTTTTAAAAAGAGGTTTATTACTTTTTGATTCTGTTACTTTTTTGGTTTTTTTGAGACAGGGTTTCTCTGTGCACTTTTGGTGCCTGTCCTGGATCTTGCTCTGTAGACCAGGCTGCGCTCGAACTCAGAGATCCGCCTGGCTCTGCCTCCCAAGTGAGCAATAATTATTGGGCAATAATTTGTGTGATATCAAATATTTTTGTATGTTTGATACACTTTGACATAAGGGTCAATTTCCTTTCTGTTTTGTTTTTTAAAATAAACTTTGACAAACTTGTGTTAAAAATGTTCTAGTTTGCTTTCACCAGTCTGTTCTGTTGTGTTTCTGATATCAGAAACAGCTGGATCAGTGACAGCCAGTGCATATGCTCTGTAGTAATTTTCATGTGCCCAGTTGAGTATTTTTACCATTGTAGTGATAGATGCTAGTTTTGGCCAACATAGCATAAAATTTTATTTTAAATTAAGCTAAAGCTGGGAGGTTAGTAAGAATGACCATTTGCGCTCCAGAGTCAGAGTCTACTTGTACCTTTTATAACAAATTGGCATTAAAGTGAATCCAACTACAGAGTGTTTTTTTTTTGTTTGTTTGTTTTTGTTTTTGTTTTTGTTATTGGTCCTCCTTGTACAGGATAGAGCCCAACCAAGATGGCTGAGGGTGAAGAAACCCCTTTTCCTAATCTGTAAACAGTGCAGAGTAAATTTTTTTTTTCTGTCTTGGTTGCATTTTTTGGTTTTCTGTTTGTTTTTTGGTTTGTTTTTGTTTTTTGGTTAACCACTTTATAAGGTGTGCAGTGGAAAAGATAATTATGGGCTTGTCATGGTTACACATGCCTACAGTCTCAGCATTCAGGAATTAAGTAGGAGGACAGAAGTTCAGTGTCTGCCTGGGATATATAGTAAGACCCTGTACTTAAAAAGGGAGGCAACTATAAGCAATTCAAAGTTTATGCACTTGAATTTCAGACGCCATCGAAGTAGAAGCAGGGAGAGGAAGAAGTCTCGGTCCAGGAGTAGGGATCGAAAAAAGTCTCGATCCAGAAGCAGAGACAGGAAGAAGTCAAGATCTAGAAGCCGGGATAGAAAACGAAGGATTAGAACACGTTCCCGATCGAGATCCAGACACAGGCATAGGACTAGAAGCAGGAGCAGATCAAGAAGTCGAAGTCGGTAAGTGTTCATCCTCCTGAGTAAAGTATATCGTGCTCTTCACTATCCACCTTTTCTCAGTTGTACAACACATTATCTACTGATAGATCTAAAATATTTTAAATCATTACATCATCAGTAAAAACAAACTTAGGGCCTAGTGGTGTGTCTCAGTGAGCATGCTTATTATGCTTTGTCCAGGGGTTCTGTGCCCTGCACCACAGAAAACATTTCCTATACACATTCTTACACAGTATGTGATTTGAACAAAATTTATTATGTTCTTTCTGTTTGGTTTGGTTTTGGTTTGAGATTTGGCGTTTTTTGTGTAGCCCTGAAAGGCATTTGCCATCACACCCAGCAATTACGTTCCTTTTTTTTTTTTTTTTTTTTTTTAAATCACAAGGGCTAATTTAATACTCTATATTATCAGGCTATTTGTGTTTTGTTTTCCTAATTTACTTGTTTGATGTATTTGATTGTTTTGCCTGCATGCATGGTGCCTGAGGTCAAAAGAGGACCATCAAATCCCTTGGAACTAGGGTTATGGGTGGTTGTGGACTGAAGCCAGGTCCTCTACAAGAGCAGCAAGTGTTCTTATCCACTGAGTCATCTCTAGCTACTGGGGTGAGTGGGTGTGTGGGTGTGTGGCCCACCTGTGGAGGGGCTATCAGCTGTTGTCCTCTATTGATCTTCGAGTTATTTGTTGATATGCGGACTCAGCTAGGGTGACCTACAACCTCCTGGGGTCTTCCTGTCCCCACAGTCTCAAACACTAGGGTTATAGCCATGCCCAGCTATTTTCATGGGTGGTAGGGGTTTGGATTCCGGTCCTCCTGCTTTCACAGCAAGTACTATTTCTCACTGAACCAGCTTTCTTCCTTTTTAATTTATTTATCATTATCATTTACACTTGTTTTATGGCGTGGTTTACATTCCTTTGTGCTTTGGTTTTGGTTTTTGTTTGGTCTTCAAGTTGGAGTCTCACTTTAGCCCTGGCCTGGCTGCCTCCCCATGGTTTCTGGGATTAAAATTTTGTTTCGTTTTGTGGGGGGTTTTTTTGGTTGTTGTTGTCTTTTTGATTGATCATTTTTGGTTGGAAAGAGGGTCTTCCTTTTCCTCCCTCTAAGCCCTCTTGTATACCCTTCCTTCTCTCTCCTTCAAATTCATGGTTTCTTCATCAGTTGTTACTATGTGCATAATACATGTATTTGTATGTACATATATATATATTCCCAAATATACTCTGTTGTAACTCTTTTTTTTTTTTTTTTTTTTGGTTTTTCGAGACAGGGTTTCTCTGTGTAGCTTTGCGCCTTTCCTGGAACTCACTCGGTAGCCCAGGCTGGCCTCGAACTCACAGAAATCCACCTGGCTCTGCCTCCCGAGTCCTGGGATTAAAGGCGTGCGCCACCACCGCCCGGCTTGTAACTCATTTTTAATTGCCTTTCAAGCAGTTAGTTCACTTTGGATGTTTTTTTGTTTTTTTTTTTTTTTTTTTGGTTTTTCGAGACAGGGTTTCTCTGTGTAGCTTTGCGCCTTTCCTGGAACTCACTTGGTAGCCCAGGCTGGCCTCGAACTCACAGAGATCCGCCTGGCTCTGCCTCCCGAGTGCTGGGATTAAAGGCGTGCGCCACCACCGCCCGGCTCACTTTGGATGTTTTTATTGGTCCAGGACATTGACCCTCCTTCCCTTATTTTTTTAAGATTTGTTCTGTGTATGGGTGTATATTTCCCTTGTATGCAGATGTCAGTGGATGTTGGGTCTCCTTAAATACTGTGGCCAGCAAATTGTCCATTTGCTAGAGGCAAGAAGGAAGTCCAGTTCAACTTGGCTCAGTAGCTGGTGTTAGTTCAAACCTTGAGAGTCTGGCACCCAATGGTTTATTTTAGGCATATTTAAGCACAGCACAATTTGGAAAAATGTTTCCTGGTGATAATTAACACAGCAAAACTTAAGAAATGATTATGTTGAAACTCTTGTACAAGTTACATCTTCCATGAAGATAGGTTCTATAGATTAAGGAAGCAGACTCGGGAGGAGGATAGTGCTGTGCTTGACTGAGATAAATAATCAAGATAAGGATCTGTGGAAGCTGGTGTTGCCTGGCCATTCACATGGCCCAGAAAGACACCAGGCTATTAACCACGTCTATTCCCAGCCTTCTATGCAGAAAACAGGTGTGTTTTCTTGGGACAGTACTGTGTGTTTAGCATTCCTGGTTTGCCTCTTGCTTATCGTTGAGCACAAGGACCTATATACTTCTTACAAGTGGAAGCCAGAAGAGGGCACTGGATTCCCTTCATCTGGGGTTACATTATAGGCAGTTGGGAGCTACCCAGCATGCATGCTGGGACCTGAACTTAACCACTCTTAACCACTGAGCCATCTCCAGCCCCATCAGATGAATTTTTTCTGTTACAAATTCCTATTTAGCAATTAATAACTATTACCTGAGACATTAAAAATAGTAGGAATATTTGAATCCTCATTGTGTGCATACTAACATGCAGGATTATGAAGCAAATCTTTGCACCACTGGATATGTAGGCAGAAAGTTGGAACTAGCCAGTATGATTCCAGCTGTAACATGGATATTAACTGGCCATATGTGTAAGGAATTTAGAATCACTATGAAAGATGTATTGATTGGGGCTGGAGAGGTGGCTTAGTGGTTGAGAGCACTGGCCGTTCTTGTTAAATTCCCAGCACTCGTAGTTGCTCATAACCATCTGGAACTCCCAATTCAGTGGGCCTGATGTCCTCTTCTGGCCTTTGTACCAAGCATGTAAATAGTGCACAGGCATATATGCAGATTTTTTTAAAGCCTCTACATATTTTTTGATGTATCGTTTGATTCTTGTTGAGCTATGTAAAGAAAATTAGTTTTTATGAAGATAATTATTGGATGGCCATAATGAGACACAGAATACTGGTTATTTCAGAGATAGAAAGAAGAGGATTGAAAAACCAAGAAGATTTAGCAGAAGCCTAAGCCGGACACCTAGTCCACCTCCCTTCAGAGGCAGAAACACAGCAATGGATGCCCAGGAGGCTTTAGCTAGGAGGTATGTCTATTTTCCCATTTAAGTCATTTTTTTCCTTTTTGAATAGCTGTCAATTGTGTAGGCAAATGAATGCTTTTAACTCAGAGGATAATCCTTTCCCTACCCCACTCACCCCCAGAAAATCTAACCATAAATACTGTTGCACATTGGTGATTCAGAGCTATATAAGTAGGTTTTTAGTTGGGAATTTTGTTGTCATTTGTTTTTAATTTGCATGTGCAGAAAGGCTGAGAAGTTTTTGCCTTTGTGATTAACTGATATTTTTACCATCACCGCCCGCATGAAAAAAACAAAGATTCAGTCTTTTGCATTTGAAAATTTTGAATTTTAAATCGTTCAGGAACCTCTGAGTTGTCTTTTCCTTTACTATTTTTTTCTTTATTAAAAACAAAACACTTGAACACTGAGAATTCTGTCACTAGATTTTAGTTTTAGTAGATACATATCATAAGCCAGTTTATTATCTTGTAGTATAGAGAGAACGTTGCATTTCCAAAGTTTCTGTTTGAGTGTTGGGCAGTTATGTGGCCACATTAGAGCAGGTCTGTGACAGAAATGTGCAGGGGCCAAAGAGCTGCCTCAGGAGGAGGCCAAAAGCCAAGCACTTGTTTGCAATTTTTTGCATATTCTGAAAATTTATATTTTTTGGATTTGGGTTTTTTTTTTCTTACAAAATTGAGTTTGTATTTTTTTTCATTATAAAAATACAGTTATCACAGTGTAACCCGATGTGCTGCTGCCCTGTGAAGCCAGCCTGGCAGAAACTCCACTGAACAGCAGCAGCAAAGGTGTGAGCTGACCCCTTCTTCATCCGTTCACCTCAGTGAATGGAGTTGGTTCCGACCTGCATTGGCCCTACAAGTGCAACCTATAGACCAATAGTTGTCTTCTTTCACGCAACAGAGTTAAAAAACCTAATATATGATGGTTTATTAACTTAAAGTATTTTCTAAGCATTGAAGTTTACTCTTTCTTACATACGGGCATCTATTATATTTTCTTTTTAATTGTTACTAAGGTAAAGTTGCAGGGTTGATATGTTGGTGCATATCTGTAATCCCTGCATTGACAGGTAGGAAGATCAGGAGTTCAGAGTTGTTCTTGGCTACATGGATACTTTGAGGGCAGTGTTAGGCTTACATGAGGCCCTGTCTCTAAAAACCAAAAAGGAGAAAATCGTTGTTACTACCATCAAGCTGTTTGATTTAATTATCAGTGATCTTGCTGTTACAGGTAGACAGAAAGCCCTCTAAAAAAAACGTTTGAAGTGTATTGGTTCATGCCTTCAATCCCAGTGCTCACAGGGCAGAGGCAGACAGATCACTGAGTGTGAGGCCACTCTGGGCTACATGGAGAGGTCTAGGACGGTAGAGGTACATAAAGAGTCCCTGACTCCAAACAAACCAAAAAACCCATAAAGAGACTTGTATATTTCTTTTTCTTTTTCTTTTTTGGTTTTTTAAGTGTCAGAATTTAAAGCAGTTTTGGAAATAAATGATTTGTGACCTATTTTGCTGATTAACATAATCAGAAACTTATTCTCAAGGATTATAGGTTATAAAACATCTTTTTTGTAAATTTAAGTACTTTTTAAAACAAATATCTGTTGAGGATGTACTTCAGTTGATATAGTGCTCGCCCAGTATGCACAAGCCCTCTGTTCCCTGACCCTGCCTATAATCAGTGTGGCACATACCTAATCCTAGCATTTAGATGGAGAAGCAGGAATTGTCTTAAATCTAAGGTCATTTTCACTACCTGAGTTTGAGGCCATCCAGGACTACATGAGTCACTCTCTGGAAAGGAAAAAACTGCAAATACCTGTTTAGTGTCTCAACACCAAAACATAACCATTTCCTCAATCCTGGTTGATTTGGACTGAATTAATGAGACCATATGACAGGTTTCTCTTTCAAGAACTAAGTGATACTACTTACTATCTGCTGTGTGGAAAATGAATTTGACAAAACATGGTAATTTAGTGTAAAGTATAATTCATTAATTCATTTTTGTTTTGTATTGAAATTTTTATTTTATGTTACCAGTTCTCTTGCTAACCATAGATTTCTTGATTTAGTAGCTTGTTAAGAAGGGTTTTTTTTTTTTTTTTTTAATTTTTTTTTTTTGGTTTTTAGATTTATTTATTATTTATATATTATGTACACCGAAGAGGGTGCCAGATCTCATTACAGATGGTTGTGAGCCACCATGTGGTTGCTGGGAATTGAACTCAGGCCCTCTGGAAAAGCAGTCGGTGCTCTTAACCTCTGAGCCATCTCTCCAGCCCCCAAGAAGGGTTTTTGCGTATCATCTTCTAAACTAAAGATTGTAGAGATCCTTTATTTGAATGAATATAAAATAGACTTTTTATTCAGGTTCATTCTTCCCTGTGCAGTATATTATAAATATTATTTTACCACTTAAACATATACATAATTTATCTAGTACCAGTATGTGGTTTGCAGGCTTTTAATTTTATCTTTGCTTTTTTTTTTTTTTTTTTTTTTTAAGCATTTAGGGTGAGAGTTAGAGGATATATAAAAATTTTGCTTTTAACAAGTTCAGCAATTATTTAAGAGTAGTCATGGTGGCATATATCTGTAATCCCAATGTTAGGTAAAGACAGGAGTGTCACGAGTTCCAGGCTAGCCAAAGCTACTTGAGACCCTGTCTCTAAAAAAACACACACACAGAAATTTCTAAACATTAGAGCATATACTACTTTGGTGAATATAGCAAAGTTTGCATCCCTGGTCCGTAGCCTGCTCTAGCCCTGCAGTTCAGGGCCAACATAGACAACATAACCCTCCCCCATTGTTCTAAAATGAATAATGACGTTTAAGAATTATATTGATATACTCTTTAACTGACTGGTACCTAATCTTAATAGGAGGGATATGATTCATTAATTTTCAAGTTCTGTGTGTAAAATGTTTGTGTATATACATGAAGATACATGCTGGTTTTACATCAAATTGTTTTAAATTGTCTTTGATAGGTTGGAAAGGGCAAAGAAATTACAAGAGCAACGAGAAAAGGAAATGGTTGAAAAGCAAAAACAGCAAGAGATGGCTGCAGGTAACTTAACGGTGCATTGCATGGTTGTAAAAAAAAAATACTTGAAAAATCCAGAAAATTCAATAGGAAAAATCACCTTTAGAGTGTTTTCATCTTCTCAAAAACCATTTTATGGCCCTGAGTGGTTATACTCCTTCAATCTTAGTACTTGGGAGAGACAGAGTTCAGGGCCAACCTGGTCTGAATAGTAAGGCCCTGTCTTAGCAATAACAACAACAAAACAAATTTGTGTGTGTGTGTGTGTGTGTGTGTGTGTGTGTGTGTGTGTGTGTGTGTGTGTGTGTGTGTGTGTAAATGTGTATGACTGGAGAGAGAAGCCCCTGTGTTATTCCTGACAAGCAGGACCTCTGCTTCTCTCCAGCCCCTTGTTCTTTTATTGTGATAAGATTTTTATCTTGGATTAAAGGTGTATGTTTTGTTTTTTTGGTTTTTTGGTTTTTTTTTTGTTTTTTTGTTTTTTTGTTTTTTGTTTTTTTTTTTTTGGTTTTTTTTTTTTTGTTTTTGGTTTTTCGAGACAGGGTTTCTCTGTGTAGCTTTGCGCCTTTCCTGGAACTCGCTTTGGAGACCAGGCTGGCCTCGAACTCACAGAGATCCGCCTGGCTCTGCCTCCCGAGTGCTGGGATTAAAGGCGTGTGCCACCACCACCCGGCCTCTGTATGTTTTGTTTTTTAATGGCTGTGTGTGTGTGTGTGTGTGTGTACACGTGCCCATGTTAAGTAAGCACTTAGATGCCATCCATGGTGACATGTATAGGTCAGAGGACAACTTCTGGAGTCAGTTCTCTCTTCCTCCTGTAAGTTCCGTAGTGGTCACGTTTTTCTTTTTACCCACCAAGCTGTCTCATTGTCTTAAAAACAGATAATTTTTTGATGAGTGAATAATGGTTATTCCTGGTAATAAACCTCCATAGCTGACTTCTTATGTTAGCTTAAGAACTTTTAGAGCCAGATATATATGGTATCCCATAACCACTTAGGAGGCTCCCTGCAAATTCAAAGTTGTTACTATTTGCAAAAACAAGGTGTAGAAGAAAGAATTTTTTACGAGGACTGTATTCTAGCAGGGGATGGTGCCTCAGGCCTTTCATCCTAGTACTCAGGAGACAGAGTAAAGGCAGTCTCTGAGTTTGTTACCAACATAGTCTACATAGCAAGTACCAAGCCAGTCAGGTTACACAGTAGGACCCTATCTTGAAAGAAGACGGGGGTTGAGGAGCCAGCTCAGCAGTTATCAGCACTGGCTGCTTTTCCAGAGGACCTGGGTCTGATTCCTAGTACGCACATTACAGCACAGGGCCAACTGTAACTCAAATTCCAGAAAATCCAGTGCTCTGTTGTTCTTTCTGGGACCAGACATCTATGTGGTACACATACATACAGGAAAACAAACACTCAAACTTTTTTTTAAAGACAGGATTTCTCTGTGTAGCCTTTGCTATCATGGAACTCATTCTGTAGAGCAGGCTAGCCTCAAACTCAGAGAGATCCACCTGCCCCTGCTAGAATTAAAGGCATATGCTGCCACCACCATCCAGCCAAGAATATTTTTCTTTGAAGGTGGCGGCTATGTTCTGGATTGACAACTTATTTGAAGAGTCTGGCACGTCTCTAGAACTTGACAATACCCTCTCTTGTGTGTGAACAATGCCAAAATTGTTCTAAATGCTTTAATTAAAATTGCTACTGGTGGGCCAGGTGGGGGTGGTACACCCCTTTAATCCCAGCACTCGGGAGGCAGAGCCAGGTGGATCTCTGTGAGTTTGAGGCCAGCCTGGTCTACAGAGCGAGATCCAGGAAAGGTACCAAAACAAAACAGAGAAACAGAAAAAAAAAAAAAATGCTACTGGTGCTGGGTGTAGTGATGCACGCCTTTAAATCTCAGCACTTGGGAGGCCAAGGGAGGCGGATCTCTGAGTTCAGCACCAGCCTGGTCTACAAAGTGGATGCCGGGATTGTTACACAGAGAAACTCTGTCTTGAAAAATCACATACATACCCTAGTTCATTTTACTGAAATCATGCTGCCTTATTTTGTGTACATTTCTTTGGCAATAATAAGCAAATATCTATTGATGAACACACTAACATGTATTTGCTAACATTTCCTTATTTGATGAAAATTATCTTTCCCTTTTATAAATGGTAAGGTTTTTTATATATATATATAATATATAATATATATATATATTATATATATATATAAATACAAACACTACTATTGTGTGAATTAGCTATGTCTTTTAAAATCCATTGTATGTTTTTCAGCAGCTGCAGCCACTGGGGGTTCTGTTCTCAATGTTGCTGCACTGTTGGCGTCAGGAACACAAGTGACTCCTCAGATAGCTATGGCAGCTCAAATGGCAGCCCTGCAAGCCAAAGCCTTGGCAGAGACCGGCATAGCTGTGCCCAGCTACTATAACCCAGCCGCTGTGAATCCAATGAAGTTTGCTGAGCAAGAGAAAAAGAGGAAAATGCTCTGGCAAGGCAAGAAAGAAGGCGTAAGTTCTTGTGTCCTTGTCATTTCACCACTAGCTAATGATTGCATCAAACAGATTGGAGTGAAAGCTGTCATTTTAAGAGCCAGTTTATAATGCTCAGGTTTGCCATGATTAAAACTGAAACTGTGTGTGTGTGTGTGTGTAACTTAGAAAAAAAATATGACTCATTTGCATGCTTCTCAATTGTGACCTTTTTTGAATGATAATATTGTTTTGGAATATCTAAATGTTGAATTCATTTGAACCAAGCTTTTGAAGAAAACCAATTGTTTACATACATTTATAAGGAGTGGAGACTAAGCAGCTTGCTAAAAGATACATAGTGAGCCAGGCATGGTGGCTCATGCCTCTAGTCCAAGCTCTTGAGAGGCTGAGGCAGGTGGATCAGGAGTTCCTAGACAACCTGGGTTACAGAGTGCAATGCTGTCTCAGTAGGCATGGAATATATTATGAAGTGGTATTCATTTAGGTTTTATTCCTTCATAATTCTAACAAGTGTTAAGATAATTATAAATTATAGTAATAGGATTCTTTAAATTGTTTGATTTGCCTATGTTGTGGAATTTATAGCATAATAAACTTTTAAGTTTTACATATTCTAAAATTCAGTGCTTTTTAACAGGACAAATCTCAATCTGCTGAAATATGGGAAAAATTGAATTTTGGAAACAAGGACCAAAATGTCAAATTTAGGAAGTTAATGGGAATTAAGGTGAGTTATGCCTTAGGGTTGATCCTAACTTATGTTTTTTCGGCTTCGTTGATTTCTGACTTCAAAGTATTTCAGTCATGTGTCAGTTCCAAGTACTTAGTTGAGGATATTTCTTCTCCAAGTTAATCTCATAGACATGACTATGCCATAGTTATCCTTACTGTTGGACAATACAGACTGTTTTGACATGTCTCTTGATGATGCCTGCTGAGGCTACTTAGTGAGACCCTATATTAAAAAATCTAAAGCAGCCAGGCAGTGGTGGTGCATGCCTTTAATCCCAGCATTCAGGAGGCAGAGCCAGGCGGATCTCTCTGAATTCGAGGCCAGCCTGGTCTATAGAACGAGATCCAGGACAGGCACCAAAACTACACGGAGAAACCCTGTCTTGAAAAACAAAACAAGGGCTGGAGAGATGGCTCAGAGGTTAAGAGCACCGACTGCTCTTCCAGAGGTCCTGAGTTCAATTCCCAGCAACCACATGGTGGCTCACAACCATCTGTAATGAGATCTGGCACCCTCTTCTGCATACATAATAAATAAATAAATCTTTAAAAAAAAAAAAAGAAAAACAAAACAAAAAAATCTAAAGCAGGACTGATAATGTAGCTCAGTTGTTAGTTCCTTTGTTTTTGGTTTTTGTTGTTGTTGTTTGTTTTGTTTTGTTTTGAGACAGGATCTTGATGTATATCCTCATCTAGCTCTAGGTAGAGTTCTTGCTTAGCAGTCCTAAGGATCTACGTGGGTCAAGTTCATTGGTTTTTGGAAGTAGGGTTTCTCTGTGTAGACCTGGCTGTCTCTGTAGACCTGAGTGCTGGGATGAAAGGCATGTGCCACCACTACCTGGCCAAGTATCATCTTAGGCCACATAGAAAGTTGGATGATAGCCTGGGCTACATAGAAACCTGTTTCCGATCTTTCTTGGTCTTTTGATGAAAGTTTAAAGAGGAGTAATGAATTTCCTGGGGGAAATAGTAATGTTCTTTTAGATGAAAAGTAGCCTAGTATGGTGGTGCATTCCTAATCCCAGTACTCAGGAGAGGCAAGCAGATCTCTGTGAGTTCAAGGACAGCCAAGGCTACACAAAGAAATGCTTAACCATTAATGTGTAGAGAATTAATTTGATGCAAGCCCTGGAAAGATACAAAGAAATGGGCTCTTTGTTGAAGGAGATGTTTAACTTAAGCTGGCTTTTGTTTGGTATTTATTTATTTAATGAATGTGAGTGCTCTATCTGCATGTACAACTATCAGATCCCACTATAGATGGTAGTGAGCCACCATGTGGTTGCTGGAAATTGAACTCAGGGCCTCTGGAAGAGCAGCCATCTCTCCCACCCCAGCTGGCTTTTACTTTAACGAAGTAATCTCCATGTGCTCCACCCCACCAATGCCTGCATGGCTTTTTCCTGTTACATCCAATAAAATAGCTAATACTTCTGTCCCTGAAACATGTGTATCCCTATTTCACTCTATATATGGCATTTATATGCTTAAGTCTTTGCACTATTCTTGACCGCACCACTAACAGGAAATTATTGTTTGTCATCGTGCTGTGTCTTTGCATGTATAACTTACTATCAAGGTTACTATTTTATATCTGGGACTGGAGAGATGGCTCAGCTGTTAAAAGCACTTGTTCTTCAAGAGGACCCATGTTTAATTCTTAGCACCCACATGGCAGTTCACAACTGTTGGTAACTCCAGTCCTAGGGGAACCAACACTTTTCTGATCTCTGCAAACATTGCACGCACATGGTTTACCAACATACATGCAGATAGTACAACCGTGCACACAATAATAAAAGTTAAAAAATAAATTGTTTGTATGATATTTAGAGTGAAGATGAAGCTGGCTGTAGCTCGGTTGACGAAGAAAGTTACAAGACTTTGAAGCAACAAGAAGAAGTTTTTCGAAATCTTGATGCTCAGTATGAAATGGCAAGATCACAAACCCACACACAAAGAGGAATGGGTTTGGGTTTCACATCTTCAATGCGTGGAATGGATACAGTTTGAAAAATATCAACTTGGGACTTTATAGACTTGTTCTGATGTCAGGTCCTTGTTCACCAAACAGCTAGTATTCTAGCTTGCATGGGTGTTGCATTGACTTTAATTTATTGAAAAATACGATTTTTTTGTAAATATCAGATCAGTGATACTGGTGTTAGTGTTGTAATCAGGTTAAACCCACTTCCATTAAACTTGACAGGACTATAGAAGGACAATATTTTTTAGTTCATGAATTCTACTTTTCAAATATATTAAAGCTTCGGGTGGGATAAAATCTCATACATAGATTTTCTCGTGTCCGCTGTCTTGTGTACTTTTGTACTTAACCTTGTACAGTTATTTTCATCTCTTGAAACATGAAAGAAATGTTAAGTAGATGTTCTTTAGAAGATCTGGCCATTTGGTACATAATCTGCACACATATGCTGGGCAGTGATAATAAAAATGGTTTTCTCAAAACTGGTGTTAATTTAAGTTACCTGGTGTTCTTGTTTGAGTCTGTTGTATGTAGCGTTGATGTTACAATTAAAAAACACTGGCTATAATGCTTTTTTACAGCAGCTGTTTTAGGGTATAAGCAATACTACAGTGCGCAGAAATGTAAAGGGAAGGTGAATGGAGCAAATTTATTATTATAGTAGTTTTCCTATTATAAGGCAGAATTGATGTGCAGTATTTGTTAGTCCATGTTATTCAGGAAGTAGGTTAATGCATTAAAGGGATGTGAGCACTTTTATATTAATAAAGTGCCTTATGACAAGTCTGTTGTATGCTACTTGCTCATTATCCCTTTGCAGTCTTATCAGAAACTGAGACATTAGAAACAACTTTTTTGTGGGGGGGAGTGGGTGTTTTGAGACAGGGTTTCTCTGTATAGCCTTGGCTGTGCTGGAACTCACTCTGTAGACCAGGCTGGCCTCAAACTCGGAGATCCACCTGCCTCTTTCTCCCGAATGCTGGGATTAAAAGCATAAATACCACCACTTGGCTAGAAACAACTTTGAGGAGCTGAGTGTGGTAGTCTGGTCAATAACCCAAGCACCTGGAAGGCTAGAGCTTTGAAATCTTGTTTTGTGTGAGGGTGTTTATGTAAGGAACATCCAGCTAAAATGATGATGAATGACTTACATAGATCAAAGGAAGGAGCTGCAGGCAAGAATTAAAATTTTTTGTTTGTTTTTGTTTTGAGACAGGGTTTCTCTGTGTACCTTCGGAGTCTGTCTTGGAACTCGCTTTGTAGACCAGGCTGGCCTTGAACTCACAGAGATCCACCTTACTCTGCCTCCCTGGTGCTGGGATTAAAGGCGGCGGCCGCCGCCACCCCCCCCCCCCCCCCACAAGAATTATTTTATGCATACTTGCCAGGAGAATTAATTTTGAACTAGATATACTGACCTAGCTTTGCCTGCAAGAGAGAGACTGAGTAAAAAAAAAAAAAAAGTTTTCATAAATAAGGCTGAAAAACTTGGATTCAGTTTCCAGTACATGACAGCCTGCAAATTCTTATTCGTGTTACCTGGGCTCTGACACCTAACCTCCATGATCAGTGCACATGTATGGTACACATAGATCCAGGCAAAAAACAGGACCAGAAAATTCTTTTATATAAAGGATAAAGGGTAACATGCTTAGTTTAAATGAAAATCCTTTCGATCTCCCGCTCATCCTATTAGCTCATTTCTGTAGTTTTTAATCATGAATCCAACCCCCATAGTTCCTCAAAAGCCTGACATTTGTTTTCCTTCTATTAATTATGCCTCTTGGAGAAAGGGAAGAAAGGCTAGATGCTGGAATCCTATCCCTAGGGAGGCTAAGACAGGAAGATTGCCCCAGGTCTGCCTAGGCAACTCGTAAGGGCCTGGGGAATATAGTGCAGTTGCTCCATTTGCCTAGCCATGGATTTGATCCCCAGCACCAAATGAACTGGGATACATGACCTCTCAAAAGTCTCCTAGACCATCACTGCAAACAGAGCCATTCCCCAAGCTGTATTATGACAGGGTTTCTCTGTATAGCCCTGGCTGTCCTGGAATTTGGGGCTGGCCTCAAACTCAGATCCACTTGCCCAGCACATTTTTTTTTTCCCACTCATTGGCCCACTGATGGCAAGATGAGTCACCACCAGCTCTATTGGTAGTCACCCATTAAAATTTTCTTGATAAAATTTTCTTGAGTTCTTATTTTTGCCAGGTTGGCTCCAACAGTCACAGACTGATCTGGAAATACATCCTGAGCATGTGCTAAAGGTTTCCATCACTGGAAGGGCAGACTTCGTTAAATTGGGCTAAGTGATGTTTAATGTTAGAGTGGATTATTCGTGACCCATCTACCCAGGGAAAGAGATCATGCAAGTCTGTATGTAAAAAATAAACTTGTAAGACCTTAAAGGATTAATCACCTAGAAGCCTCAGGTGGCCTGAAGAACTTGGAGCTGGAAGAGTTGAGAAGATAACAATAGCAGGAAGGCTCCTGAGGGGATCAACATCTCACTAGACCCTCTCGGGAGAACTGAAACATGCCAGCATGAGGAGGACCTCCACCAAAATTTTCTTTGGGAAAACAGAAATAGGTCTGCAGACTGAAATATTCCCACCCCCAAATTCCCTTCTCTGGCACATAAAACTCCAAGCCCCCAGTGCACGTCTCTACTCTGGAGAGACTACTGGGTTCATTCTGATTAGACAGTATGCCTCTGTAGAGATCGGCCTCTTATTTTCATGTGACCTTCATCAATCTCCATCTGTCAGGTCCAAAGCAAACAGTTCCCCACACCCCAAAAGGCAGTCCAAAGAGCCAGAAATAGGATTTCTGGCAGATAAAAGGCAGCATTCCTCTGGAATTTGTGAAACTCATCTTCCTTACTTCTGACAGAAGGGACCTATGGCTACCTGTGGTACCGATCAGCATCAAAGCACATGGCTGGAAAAACAAGTGCCTGTACCTGTTAACACATTTCAAAGTCCACCCTAGCCCCTCCCATCTCCCCTGCCTTAAACTCCCTCCAGGAGGGCTCTGCCACCACCATCTGGCTTGTTAGCCATTTTCTGTTCACTATACTTTCTCTGCTCTGAACTCTTTCTAATGCCGCTGACTTCTCTCCTTCATATCCCAATAAAGACCTTCCACTGAACTATATTATGGATCCATCATGTCCTCTGTTTATACGCTAACAAGACCTTTAAGAAAAAAATCATGGGGGCCGGAGAGATGGCTCAGAGGTTAGGAGCTCTGGCTGTTCTTCCAGAGGTCCTGAGTTCAGTTCCCAGCAACCACATGGTGGCTCACAACCATCTGTGATGAGATCTGGTGCCCTCTTCTGGCCTGCAGGGATACATGCAGGCAGAACACTGTATACATAATAAATAAACCTTTAAAAAAAAAAAAAAGCCGGGCGGTGGTGGCGCACGCCTTTAATCCCAGCATTCAGGAGGCAGAGCCAGGCGGATCTCTGTGAGTTCGAGGCCAGCCTGGGCTACCAAGTGAGTTCCAGGAAAGGCGCAAAGCTACACAGAGAAACCCTGTCTCGAAAAACCAAAAAAAAAAAAAAAGAAAAAAATCATTGAGAGTGAAACTTTGGTGTTGGAGCTATCTGCAAGTCACCCATGTTCCAATAAGTAATGCCCCCCTATTTACTTTTAATTTATCCATGTTCCAATAAGTAATGCCCTCCCCCCTTTACATTTTTTTAATTTATTTGGTTGGTTTTATGAGTCAGGGTTACCTTGTGTAGCTCTGGCTGTCCTGGAACTCACTCTATAGACCAGAACTCATAGAGATCCACCTGCCTCTACCTCCCGAGTGCTAGGACTAAAGGCATTCACCACAACTGCCCAAGTCAACTTTTGACTAGTGTGTACGAGGTCCTGAGTTTAATACCCAACACCACTAAAAAAAGACTTAAAAAATAGATCTTCCACAGGCCTAGTTTCCTCTCTATTGTCTGTAGGATGAATTGCAGCTTCAAGGTATCACATCAAAATAAAACCATCTCCATTCCCAAATGTCTCCATATCCCACTTATTTCAAATGACCACTTATTTGACCAGTTTAAGTCCCAACACTGGCAACTACATACTTTTCCCTTTCTCTCAATACCTTTAACCAACACACATTCTGTTCTTATCTTTTTTTTTTATAATTTATTTATGTGTATTTGATGTACATTGATGTTTTATATGCATGTATGTCTGTGTGAGGGGATCAGATCCCCTAGTACAGGAGTTACACACCGTTGTGAGCTGGCATGTCGGTGCTGGGAATTGAACCTGGGTCCTCTGGAAGAGTAGCCAGTGCTCTTAACCACTGAGCCATCTCTCCAGCCCCTTGCTCTTATCTTTTAAATATTTTCTACTTCTACATACCTTTTTCCCCCACCACTATTGCTGCTATAATCCAAACTTGCTTCCCCCACCCTCTTTTCGGTGCCGGAGTGTAAACCCTCAGCATCATACAAATCAGAGCTACAATCTCTAGGACCCCACCCTCACCCAGTCCCCACAAGCTACAGTTTCCTACTTTACAATGAAAACCTATCAGTCTGTTTGCTAGCCTCAATGAACTGTTTTATTTCATTTGTGCTCTATCTTTTAATCAAGACTATCTTATCAAAAGGTAAGTTTGCTATTAGGAACGTACCATCTGTTTAAAATGTTTTAGGATTTTAGTTGGTAGGCAGTCTAGGAAAACTTGGCTAATGTTCCAGATTTCACTGTGCTCCACTTTGCCTTTATCTTCATTTTCTTTCTCTACCCCGGCCACCAATTTGCCCACTTAATCTTTCCCATTTCAGTTCGTGTTCTTCCCTTCACTGACAGAAACCAACAGGGTATTTTTTCTTCTTTTCTTCTTTCTTTTTCTTTCTAAGAAGGGAGGCTAGACAGGCTATCTTATGTAGCCTAGGCTCACCTCAACCTTGTCTCTGAGGATGCCCTTGAATTCCCGATTCTAACTATGCCACAGATGACCTAACTATATTGTTTCTTTGTTACACGCTATAATTTCCTGTATTTTTAACATGTGATGACAAATAGCCATTCAAACCCCGTGCGACAAGAAAGCAGAAACATTCATAATTACGGGGTTTTCTGGGTTTGGTTTTTGTTTTTTTAAGCGTTCGGGAGGGCAGACATAGTACTCTGGTCCTAGAGAAGTGTCTGACACATTACAAGCAGTGAATATATATTGAATGAATGAATGGTGAACCCACAAAAAGCCCCCTGAGAGAAATCGAAAACAATGTAATGACCTAATTTTGCTTACATTCGTTTAAAAAATAAAACAATCACAATAAACCAAAGTGGCTTGTGTCTACGAGCACAAACGTCTGCAGCAAAGCTAGAGTTCCTGTTTTCTCTTTCTGACGTGGGGCAAACGTACCACAATCTGTCATAAACCATGTATCCGGCTCTGATTCTTCAGCTTTCGGACGCCTAACGCGGACAATCCATATTGTTTTATCTCATTCGGAATCGTTTGAAAAAATGATCAATCCCAGTGTGCAATGCAAACAATCAGCCCGGTCGCTTAGAAACCACACATCCCAGGATGCCACGCTCCGGGTCCCAGCGGGCAGGAGGCAGGAGGGAGGCTGTGGCATTCTGGGAGTTGTAGTCTCCGGGCAAGTCCCGCCTCTAGAGCGGCTTCGAAGGCCTGCGTGTGGAGAAAAGCCTCCAGGGAGAGCGGCGCTGCCCTACAACCTTCGCCCCCTGCCCTCGCCTCTTTCCCACAACCCAAAATGGCCGCGGGTGTGGATTTTGGCGACCTAGAGTTATTCGAGGCGTTTGACCCTCAAGAGGAGTCGACCCCGAAGCCCGTTCACACCCGCTTCAAGGACGACGACGACGAGGAGGAGGACGACGACGACGAGAATGGGGTGGGGGACGCGGAGCTCCAGGAGCAGCTTCGGCACTGCGAGGAAACCATCAGGCAGCTCCGCGCCGAGAATATCCTTCCGGTTTGGCCCTGTCACCCGGGACTTGGGGGTCTCGGTGGCGGCGGGTGCGGGCGCGGGGGAAATTCCAAGAGGGTCAGCATTCGAAGTCCCTTCTCCCGCGGCTCGGCGGGCGGGCGGGCGGGCGGGCGGCGGCCTGCGCGCAAACCCTTCCGGGGGAGACTCCTCCTGTGTGGACCCCCCTGGCCCCCCAACCCAGGGCTGCCCCTTGGCCTAACTTCAGCACCTTCCCAGTTACATTGTAAACGGTTCCCGACTCCTCTCTCCCTCCCTTTGGGGGGTCACGCTAGTTTATTTCCTGGGCTCAAGGGGAGACAGTCGTGATGTATGTTTGAAGACGCGGGGATCGGAGCCCCCTGGAATCGGGGGGCCGCGGGGATGCAGTGTCGGGGGGGGGGGCGTGAAGAATGAGCGTGCAAAGAGAAATGGTGAATGGGCGCGCGATAGTTTTACTTTTTAGAGGTCTTCCGCTCTGAGTTGGCTTGCATGGCAGTGCCCTGGGAAAAACGCGCCAAATTTCCCTTTGACTTTATTATTAACAGGATTACCGTTTCTGGATTTGCTAGTACGTTAGCTTTCATTCATAAGTTTCTTAAGTCTGCCATGTACAGGTAGTTTTTGGTTCAGGTAACTCTGCTTTTTAAACTGATGATGAGCCCCGAGAGTGGTTGATGTGTTAGGTTTTGAAGTCTGACACTTTATTGTGAATCTTTATAAAATACTAGCGAGTAGAGAGATTTGTGCATTTCATATCCATAGATACAATCCCGCGTGCTTGTTAACATTTTGCTCTTTTGCCTTTATTTTGTCATCTACCATGATGCTTTGACGTGGGAAATTTTCCTCATTGGCCGCTTTGGCTCGTTCCAGGAACACCGTTGTCTTAACTGACATTTTGGGTTAATCTCCTAGACTGTTTCTGAACTTCAGTATCATGTCTTAGAATATACATACGTTCAAAAGGCCGAAAACTGTATTTAATGTTTAGGTCCAAAACACGAGCTCAGTGTGTCTCCCTCAAAATACTTGCAGGTCTTTCCGTTACATTTCTAACATTTGGATAATGAAAGTGGGAGTTACAGTGGTTGAATCTTATGACCTGCATAATTGTGTTTTTCGATGACTGATATTCCTTAACGAGTAATAACATCAAGAACTTAAAAGAAAGTTGAACATTCTGACAAGACCCAGGTATGAGATCTTGAAATTACACCTGAGATGCCTCTTGCTGTTCATCACGTTAATCACGGAGTAAGAGGTGGTGGGATTTTGGTATTACCGTTTTTTCAGAATACTATGAAGAATTCAGTAACTTCTTTATTGTTGACTTATGGGTATAAAGGAATTCTGGTAAGTGGGCTAAACATTTAAAGGGACTTAATGGGTCACTTTTCTGAATCCAAAAAGTTTTGCCTGATTGTTAGAAAAGCAAGTCAAACCCAACTATTCATATTCAACACACATTTCCAGGAAGATAAAATAAGTTTACAGAAAAAAAAAATAAGTTTACAGTTACTTTAGCTGATGATTTCTTTACAGATTATTATTATTGGTTGGTTTTGTTTTTTGAGCAAGAGTCGGCTTACTGAGACAGGGTTTTCACCTTGTAACTCAAACTAGCCTGGAATTCACTGTATTGCTTAGACTGGCCTTAAATTTATTGGTCCTTGTTCCTCAGCCTTGAAAGTGCTGGGATTACAGATGTAAGCCGCCACACTAGCATTATTTTACAAGTAAAATATTTGATTAATACAGATAGTGCATGGTATAGCAGTTTTGTGTTTTGTTGAGACAGTCTCACTGTTGTTGCCTATACTGGCCTCAGCTCACAGTGAAGCTGAGGGTGGCCTTGAACTGCTGATCCTCTGCCTCCCCTGAGAGCTGGGAACATGCCTGGTGCCACCAAGTCTGGCAAAGGGCTTCAGAAGGAGAAAAGGCAAGGTACTTTTGAGAAAGTACAGCATGTAGGCATGTATTCAGACGTATATGGTCATAACAAACATACTAAATGCTGGCATCGCAATATGAATTTAACAAGTCACTAAATTCATTTTTATTTTATTTTTTTGAGTCAGGGTCTCACTTTGTAGTCTTGGCTGGCTTGGAGTTCACTTTATATATACCAGACTGGTTTCTAACCCAGCCGCCTTGTCTTTCCCAGTGCTGGGATTAAAAACACGTGGCACCACTCTCTGCCTAAAGTACTAATTTATGTGGAATGGTTGGTTCTTCCTCTTTTTTGCCTTTGCTTCCCCATCCCTTCCTTCCCTTTTTTCTTTATTTCAACAGGGTCTGTGTAGCCCAGGCTGCTCTCAAACTCATGACATGCCTCCTGCCTTAACTTCCCAAGTGCTGGCATTGCAGATAGGAGTCGTGTCCAGTTGAAATAGTTTCAAGCTTTGGAACAAGGAGGTTACCCTGTACTTTTTATTATTTGTTCGTGTACTGGCTAGATTGTGACTAAATTTTCAGGTAGGGTCTCATATAGCCGGAGCTATCCTAGGACTCATTGTGTAGCTGTGATGATCTCGAACTTTTGATCCTCTGTCTCTACCTTCTGAGTCTTGGTATTACAGGTGTGCATTGTAGGCAAGCTATCAGCTGAACCACTTTGTCAACTGTGGTCTCTCGTCAGGCTTACCTAGAATTCACTCTAGCCCATACCGGCCTTAAACTGGGAGCAGTGCTGCCTACAATTCCCAAGTTGTGTGAATCTTGGATTGTAGTAGTTAAAGCAATGTGCTTTGGCCTCCAGGAGTCTATAGTAAAATAAAAATCATTTATTTATGAAGTGTTTAGTTTTCCTTTATACTTCCAAACCAAATTCATGTGGAAATGTTTGGAAGTATATTCTTGTAACCTGCCTGCTTGTCCTCTTCCTTGCTGCCCTGATTTGTAAGGAAACTAACCTCTTGTTAAAGAAACTTTGTTAAAAACTAAACCCAGGCAGTGGTGGCACATACCTTTAATCCCAGTACTCAGGAGGCAGAGGCAGGCGGATCTCTGTGAGTTTGAGGCCAGCCTGGTCTACAGATCGAGATCCAGGACAGGCACCAAAACTACACAGAGAAACCCTGTCTTGAAAAACAAAAAAACTAAAAAGATTGACCTGTTGTTCTTTGGGGAGTGTGTGAACTTTTTTTTTTTTTTAATGTTGAGATAATTTCTAGGCTAGGCATGGAGGTTCAGGCTGTTAATGACCATTTGGGAAGCAGAGTCAGTATGATCCCTGTGAGTAGCTGGGCACTGGTGGCGCACACCTTTAGTCCCCGCCCTGGGGAGACACATAGGCAGACACAAACTCTGTGAGTTTGAGGCCAGCCTGGTCTACAGAGGGAGTTCCAGAACAGGCTCCACCTGGGAGGCAGAGCCAGGTGGATCTCTGTGAGTTTGAGGCCAGCCTGGTTTACAGAGCAAGATCCAGGACAGGCACCAAAGTTACACAGAGAAACCTTGTCTCGAAAAACCAAAAAAAAAAAAAGGTGTTTGCTGTATAATTAGAATCTAAGCACCCTATCTCAGAAAACAGACAGACACTTAGACTTTCCCTTCTGGCCTCCCTCCCCGGTGCACATATGACGGGCACCCACACAGTGTATTGTGCATACACTGAGTGCAACACAATAAAGAGATAGGTTTCAGGGCTGGAGAGATGGCTCAGTGGTTAAGAGTCCTGGCTGCTCATCCAGGGGACCCAGGTTCAGTTCTCAGCACCCACATGGCAGCTCACACCTGTATGTAACTCCAGTTCCAGGGCTTCTGACACCCTCACACAGACAGACATTTAGGCAAATAAAAATAAATAAATTTACACATTAAATAAAAATAAATTATAAAAAAAGAGATGTTTTGTTCAAACCACTAAAGATAGTAGACTAGGGGAAAACTTAGATTTTGCATGGGAAAGCTGGAGCTCTTGTGCTTTTTGTCTTCACCTTACTTGTTTGGCTGGACTTGGAAGCCAAGGCCCTTTCGTGTGCTGAGCAAGCTGTCCAGCACAGGCTGCATCCCCAGCCCTCTTGGTTTTGTTTGCAGAATATTACATGATCTTTAGTCCTTACGGTTACAAAAGTCAGCTGGCTGTGGTAGTGTACGCCTGTGATCCCAGCACTGGGCAGGCTCAAGTAGAAGGATCCCAAGCATGAGGCGAGGTAGGGCAACTGATAGAAACAAGAGGAGGCCTTGTCTCAGCAAAGAATAATTGTAATCACAAAACTCATGTGCTTCTAAGTGCTATGTGTGTACTTTACTGTCTTCTAAGACTATGTTTAACTTCTGTTTTAGTGGCATACTGGTGAGCAATACTAAGATAGATGGACCCTTATTACAAATTCTATTTATGAACAATGCTATTTCAAAGTAAGTAGTTTTTTTTTTCTTACATGTGAGTTTATGTGTATATGAAACTGGATTCTGTAAATAACTATTTGCATTTGTATTTGTATCTTTATTCTTTTTTATTGCATTTTATTTATTGTGTGTTTTTATGTGTGTGCCATGGTGCAGGAATGTGGTAGTCAAAGGACAACTTGTAGGAGTCAGTTCTTTCCTCTCCCATGTGGGTCCAGGGACTTGAACTCAGGTAGTCAAGCTTGGCTGCAGGCACCGTTACCTGCTAAGCCATCTCAAGGGCCCTCATCTTTATTAGTTAAATTGTTTCAGGGTTAAAGTATGAGAGATCATCGTTTTGAGTGAGAATATGAGAATTATGGGACCTGAATTTGAGTCTGGACTCCTACACCCGTGAACTGGTGCAGCTCTCAGTACCTGTTAATTTTCTCACTTGAAAACAGTGTGTGCTAATATTAAATGCCCCTCAGGTCCTTAAATGGAATCTATGAGAGCTCAGGAAGTACCATCTCCTAAAAAATGCCACCACCACTATAATAACAATGTTAGCTGCTCCGCTCTCATATGTGGATAAGTTTTCCATATTGGCTGTCTGTGAAGCCTACCCACATCCCACATGGTTATTTTTGGTCAGTAGCAGAACTTGACTACTGCACGTCTTCTGGCATGCCTGAGTGCAAGGCTCAGTGCACTCCTGCAGTGGCCTGCCCTTCCTGAGTCACTATTACCGTCTTACGCACTGACTATGGACAAGAAGATAAAGGAGTAAGGTCCAGGCCCATCACCTGCTGTAGTTCACGAGTGGAACCCAAGACATTGGGAGCTTGGAGTAGCTTGGATGGTGAGTGTGCCAGCAACATGAAGCAGGATGCTCGGCACACCTGGGCTTGGTTACTGTGGAGCCTAGATTAGACAGGTATTAATCTAGTCTAGCTTTGTGGTCTAACTTCAGTACCATCCATCTGTTATTCTGCATTCAGAATCTTAGGCTGGAGCTAGAAAAGACATGAAAAGTCAGGTCTGCCTGAGGTCCCTGGCTGCCTTATTCCAGCATAGCAAAACCTGGATTTCTTTGACACCTGAAGGGATCACTCCAGAATATATGATCAGTGTGGTTCTTGACCTGGACAGCTAGACATCTTTCTTTCTTTCTTTCTTTTTTTTTTTTTTTTGGTTGTGCCTTTTTTAGTTTTCATGTGAAATGGACATTTTCTTATATGTGCATTGGAAGTCTAAGGAGGATATGGAAAGTATTAACAAGTTGGATGTCCCTATGTTGCAGAAATAGGAGAAAGGAGGAAGAAAGCTCTTCATTATGTAACTCCTTTGGTGGATTTTGTTTGTTTTTTGTATTCGGGGACAGTGACTTCTCTTTGTAGCCCTGGCTGGCCTGAGATTTGCAGCTGTCCTCCTTCCTCTGCCTGCCTGCGAAATGCTGGCATTACAGGCCCGCCACATCATGCCAGGCTTTTCTTTCGGGTTTTGAGCCATTTGTAAGTATCGTCTATTAAAGAGTAAAAGTATATGAAACTTATAAATAAAATCTACTTATTCTCCCACCTGTTTGACTGAGGTTCTGTGCCAGACGCGCATAGATGATCAGAATCAAGCTGTTAATGCTGCAACAATACATATGTAGAGTTTCTAAGGAGTAGCATTCTGAGTTACAGAGCCCCTAATGTAGCAAACCTGAAAAACAAAAATAAATGGGACTTCTTCAACTACTGCAAAGGACTTCACTCTGCTAATGTGTCACTCTGTCCAGGTGCTAACCATCTGTCCGTCTTTCCCTCTCCTACAGGCAGTACCACCAAGAAATAGAAGAGTTTGTATCAAATTTAGTAAAACAATTTGAGGAACAGCAAAATAATGATGTGGAAAAGACTTCCTTCAGCCTTTTACCCCAGGTATTTTAACCTTGAGGCTTGATGCTAAGTGGTTATGCTTTTTGCTGCCAACTGCTGTTACACTGGAAATCCCCTTGAATCAAAACCAAAATGGCGAAGATTGTGTGCTGACTTTGTATCCTGTCACTGAGTTCCTTCTGCAAAGTGACCAATGCTGCCATCTGACTTTTCTTTGAATGTGCCTCCTTTGCTCAGAATAGTTGCGTGACTATGCCTAAAATTAATGGTGTTCTATTTCCCAACATGGGCAGAAAATTGGCTGAAGGAGGGGTTTATTTATCTGAGGTTTATAAAAGATGACTTCTTGGGACCAGGGAGGTGGCTCATTGGGTGAGAGGGCTTGCTGTGCAAGTGTGAGAACCTGAGTTTGAATTAGGAATACCCACTTCTTATGTGTAGCCAGCATTTTAAGGGCAGAAACAGACAGATCCCAAGAGCTCACTGGCCAGCAAGCATGGCCACACAACAAGTTTCCAGTGAGAGATCCTCCGCCAAGCAGATAAGGTAGAGGGCAAGAGAGGAGGACTGGTCTGTACTGTGTCCTGCTACGGCTTCTGCATGTGTGCGCACAGATTGGCACACCCACCAACTCAAGTCCATACAATTCGGACACCTTTAATCCCAGCATTCAGGAGGCAGAGGCAAGCACTGTGGTCTACGGAGTGAGTTCCAGGATAACCAGGGCTATGTAGAGACCCTGTCTCAAAGAAAAAGAAATATGAGGAATTACAGAGTGTGTGTGTATTCAAAAGTGTGGTTGGTTTCCTTTTTTTCTAATATACATTAAGGTAAGTAGACTCTGTCAGCCAGGCATACACAAAGAAGCCCTGTCTCAGGAAAAGGGAAAAAAAAAATCTTTCAATTAAGCAATGATACTTTTTGTCCTCAGGAATTGGAGAAGGAAGTATTTTGTTATTTGAAAATTTTGTTGTTTTGAGACAGGATCTTAACTGTGTAACCCTGGCTGGCTTCAGACTCATAGATTCACCTGCCTCTGTCTCTTGAACGCTAAGATTAAAGGTTTTCACCACCACACTCAGCTGAAAACTTTTTTTTGTTGTTGGTTTGGGGTTTTTTTGTTTGTTTGTTTGAGACGGGGTTTCTCTGTGTAGCCTTAACTATCCTGAAACTCGCTTTGTAGACCAGGCTGGCCTCAAATTCAGAAATTCGCCTGCCTCTGCCTCCCGAGTGCTGGGTTTAAAGGTGTGTGCCACCACACACGCTCCAAAAATGTTACTTTTGATTCAGTGAACATTTCAGAATTTTGTAATTGTTTGAGGTCTATGAGGTTATCAATAGTGATTGTTAATGGTTTTTTGCTTGTTTTGGAGTCGGTTTTTTTGTTTTGTTTTGTTTTTTCCTTTCTTTTTTCCAGATAGGGTTTCTCAAGTCTGCCTTACTATTTAAGCATTGTATAGTTTATAAATAATCCTGCCTTAGCTTCTAAATTCATTCTATTATGACATGATGTCGTATGTATATTATTAAGTGAAAGAAGGGTGTTGAGCTTCCTAAAGTTTGAAAACCAAAAAGTATTCCTCCAGCTGGAGAGATGCTCTGTGGTTAAGAGCACTGGCTGCTCTTCCAGAGGATCTCGGTTCAGTCTCAGCACCCACATGGCAGCACACAGCTGTCTATAACTCCAGTTCCAGGGGATCCGACACTCTCATACAAGCATACGTGCAAGCAAAGCTCCAGTAAATAATCAAACACACAAGGTATTCCTCTTGTGACTCTTTGTAATGCCTGTTATTTGGTCTCAGCCATCCAGTGTTACTTTGGAAGAGGACCATAAAGTGGAAGAATCATGTGCCATTAAAAACAACAAGGAAGCTTTCAGTGTAAGTTTGGACTCTTCATTTTTAATTCTGCAGATGTGTGATTACTGTTTATCAGTTGGGTGGCTTAATGATAAGATGGTATGGTCACATGACTTGATAAGATCACAGCGTTTTCTTGTAATAATCAGTATTGTAATTGTCATCCTCTAAATATCATTTGTTCTCTAGTGATTGTTGCACGCTGTTGTGAGGACACAGTATACTTTATTCGCAAGAGTTTGTATTGGTCCTGACCAGCCTCTTCCTGTTATCTTGAAAATTTTGACTAAAGAAGTAGAAAGCAGACTTGTAAGGCTTACACACAGATGAAGCTGAGAGAAGTAGCTGATGTAACATGGCATGTGTAAAATCTGAAATGTCAATAGGCTTCATTAGTTTGTAAAAGCAAAAGCTTAACAGGGGGAACCTCTATTTAGGCCTTCCGGTTCTTTTGCAGAATTCATTGATATCACACCATTTTGTAGCATACTCACAAAGGATGACTAGTTTTCATGCTATGGGATATGCCCCCAATAATACCCCAATTTTAAAGACATGGGGCTGCTGAGATGATGAAGAGCTGCAAGTCTCATGAAAAAACTTGAAAGGAATGTTGTGTCTCTGCAAATTCAATAGTAGTTGTTACGTATCACACTTCATAGCATCCCTGGTAGAATAGGATTAGTGATAGACTTGAGAACAAGAGGTACATTTCAGCTCGGTCTTAGGGAGCTCGCAGAGGTATGGCCTTGGCGGCTCATCCTTGTAATCCCAGCACCCAGGGCAAAGGCAGAAAGGAAAAGGGAAAAGGCTAGGCTGGGCACGTAGCTTAGTGGTAGAGTACTTACTTAGGATGTGTGAGTCGCTGGGTGGTGGTATCATTGCTGTTGTTGTTATTCTTAGCCTGGAGAGATAGCTGAGCAGTTAGGACGTGTACCACTCTTGTAGAAGAACTGAGTTTGATTCCCAGCACTTAACCTGGGTGCCTCACAACCACAGATAACTCCAGCTGCAGGGATCCAACACCTCTGGCCTCCCCAGGGACTGGCATTTGTGCCACATACCCTCAAACACCTGCACACACATAATTAAAAATAAAGTAAATCTTTAAAAAAATAAGAAATTTTTTTTCTTATTTTTATTCTTCCCTTCCTCCCTTCCCCGCTGTCAGGTGTGCGCACTTCCGCTTCCCCTCCTTTCTCTCTGTCTCTCTCTTTCCCTCTTTCTCTCTGTCTCCCCATTATAATAAACCCTTTCCACATGGGGGAAAGTCAGAAATTTGCATCAGAGAGAGGGAAAATGTCTAGGTTATTTGAGTAAAATAAAGATTAGGGATGCTATCAAGAATATTTTATTTATGCCGGGCGGTGGTGGCGCACGCCTTTAATCCCAGCACTTGGGAGGCAGAGGCAGGTGGATCTTTGTGAGTTCGAGGCCAGCCTGGTCTACAGAGCGAGATCCAGGAAAAGGCGCAAAGCTACACAGAGAAACCCTGTCTCAAAAAAAAAAAAAAAAAATTATTTATTATTTATTTATTTTTGAGACAGGCTTTTGTAGTCCTGACTGTCCTGGAACTCGATCTGTAGACCAGGTTGGCCCTGAACTCAGAGATCTACCTGCCTCTGCCTCCCGAGTGCTGGGATTAAACACCTGCACCACCACCACCTGGCCCTATCAAGAATATTTTCAAGTTTTTTATTTCTTGTTCTTTGTTTATGGTTTGGTTTTTATTTTAATTTTTAAATGAAATTTATGTATTTGTATGTATGCATGCAAACGTGCATGTGCTGTGGTGCATGTGTGGAAGTCAGAGGACTGTTTTCTGGAGTTGGTTCTCTCCATCCACCCTTGGGTCCTGAGTATGGACCTCCAGTTGTCAGGCTTGGCGTTGGAGCCATCTCACCTGCACAGACTGTTTGTTCATGAAACAAGAACTCTCTCTGTAGTCCAGGCTATCCTCAGACTCACAGCAGTTCTCCTGCCTCGGCCTTTGAAGTGCTGAATTTACAGGTGTTAGCCATGTTTAGCTTCAAGAAGGATTTCTGAACTCAGCTAGGTAACTTTCATTTTCCTTTCCACTGAAAGGCTATGGAATTAAAGTAATGCTTGTCTAGAATGACAGTTTTATAGTTATTGCTTTACTTCTTTAGACAGTACTGGTGTTGACTGAATGCTGCTCTGTGCCAGGAGCAGAGAGGTTTCAGAGACAGCAGTGAAAAGAAAGGTCTAGGCCAGCTCTGGTTTAATGAGCAGGTGAATGGGAGAAGGTTAAATTCCTAAGAAAAGTAAGATTGGGGCGTAGGCCAGGAGTTATGTACTTGCCTAGCTTGTGAGGCCCTGGGTTCAATTTCCCAGTAGTACATAGGGGGGTGGGGGGGGGGGGTGTGAGTGAGAGAGAGAGAGAGAGAGAAGGAGAGATGGATGGATGGATGGATGGATGGATGGATGGATGGATGGATGGGCAGCCTAGGTAGCTTAGTGAAATTCTACCTTAAAATAGGTGAAGAAATGGCTGGGACTGCAGTTTGGAGCACTTACTTGCCTAGCGTGTGGAAGGCCTAAATTCAATTGCGGGATAGCAGGGAGAGGAGTGATACAAATCCTGGGAGTGGGTAGTTTGTATAGTGAGTTGTTGGGGACTGCCTGTGTGGGCCGAGATCTGGATGAGTTGACGGAGAATTCGAGGCTGTGTTCTGAGGGAAGCGGGCTCAATAAATAGGAAAGGGAAGGAGATGCCAGCAGCCAGTATTCCAATTGCTTTCTGTGCAGCCAGTACTGGTATATCGCTTGGGAGCCGGTTAAGGGTGATACTCGTGGAGGTAATATTCTTGCCATCTGATTAAAAAGGAAACACATGGAAAGCTAAGAGACTCACTCGCCAGTAGTCAGGTGACAGAGCCAAGTGATCTGCATCCTTATAATGCTTTATAGGCCATAATGGAAACTTCAGATTATAGTCTAAGAAACCATTTGAGGATCATAAGTAAAACTGTGACATGCTCCATCTTAATGGAAAGAATCAGGTTCTTTGTGGAAAGTAGTTGGCCCATGGTCTGCGTAGGGTCTGCAGCTAGTTAGAAAGCTGTTGTGTTAACCTCAAGCAAGAGAAGAGAAAGCATAACAGACCAGTGTGGTAGTTATGATGACACCTGGCTGAAATCTGGATATCCTTGGCAGTGAAACCAGTCAGATGTGTTCACGAGTAGGTGTAGAATAAGAGAGCTCCTGAGAGAACAGTCAGAAGAACTCAGGACTTGGCCAAGGGAAGTGGGAAGCATGGGAAAGGAGCAGGTTTGGAGGGGCTGGGAATTGATTGCTCTTTTTTTTTTTAACTTATTTATTTGGGTTTTGTTGTTTTTAAGACAGTCTCACTGTGTATCCCAGGCTGGCCTCGAACTGTGGTCCTACTATCTCAGCCTCCCAAGTGCTGGGATTGCAGGCAGGTGTCATCCTACCCGACTGCCAGTGCCATTTTAAATAGGTGAGTTTAAGATACCTTACATGTCCAGAAAGAGGTGTCATGTTGGCATTTGAATATCCAAAACTGGAGCTAAGGGATCAGAACTTACTTGGGGGGGCGGGGGGGGGGGGGTCATCAGCATAGAAATTATTTCTCATACCCTAGATCTGAGTCAGTCACCTCAGAAGTGAGAGTGGAGGAGATGTCTTAAGGATCAGCGGCATGGGGAGATGAGAGGGACGTGGGGGCAGAACTGAGAGTGGCATCCTAAAAGCCTTCCAAGGATGGAAGATGTTTCTGAAAGGAAGGAGGAATCAGCTGTGATTCCTACTTGCTGACAGGTTGAGCGATGAAGTTTGACAGTTGCCCAAAGGACTAAGCTGCAGAGAAGTCCTTAGCTCCTTCATCAAGCTAGTGTGATAGGGATGCAGCATTACTAGAAGTGTTCTAGAGACACTGGCAGTGTTGTTGAGAATGGGAGGGGCATGCTCTAGATAAAACCGAAATACAGCATAGGAACCTTAATAAATCCTGGCTTGAGGGCAAAAAAACTATAAAACACATTTTGGAGGTAGAGAAACTTGAATGTTGAGACGATATAGGTGATACTAGAGAGTTACTGTTGATTTGCAGGAAAATATTCTTAGTTCATACTGAAGCATTTAAGGTAAGTGTTACTCTGTCTGCAACTGACTTAAATGGTCAGGTAAAGAGTATGTGTGTGTATGTGTATACATGAAGAGAGTCGTGCACAGAAAAATTTCAGTGTTACTATTTATTTAGTCTAGGTACAGGGTGCATGAATATTCATTGTACTGTGTTTTCAACCTGTCTAAGAAATGGCTGCGAGAACTCAGTAGGAGACCAAGTAAATGCTAACCAAGGAACTAGAAACAATAAATGCAGCCTGTGAGGGTCTTGCTGCAAATACATGAGGTCCTGGAGGGACCTGTGAGAGTCAGGCTTTGGTTGAGACAGAACGAACAGTCTATAGTACTAATGATACCAGTGAAAGCTCGGGTGCCACTTTATTTGCACACCAGGGTCCAGCTCCCATTTAGGACTTTATTTCTCATAGCTTCATCCAGAGTCAAACTGTTAATGGGTAATCATAGACTTACATTATCATAGACTTACATTACTTAATGTCTTTTTTTTTCTGCTTAAATAGCGATATTTTTTGACTTGTTTTCTGCAGGTTGTAGGAAGTGTCCTGTATTTTACTAATTTTTGCCTTGATAAATTGGGGCAACCGCTACTAAATGAAAACCCTCAGCTTACGGAAGGATGGGAAATACCCAAGTATCCTACATAGTGAATGAAGATCTTTTATGCATCTTGCCACTAAGTTCACCTTTAAAAAAAAGCTTACCAAATTTTGCAGACTATGATAACTATTCCTTAATAAAATTCACTAAAGGTACCAGCAAGTCTTCAGCCACATTGTTTCTCTAGAAGGGCAAGAAATGCAAGTAAAGGCAAAAAGGTTTGTGTGGGGCGTTGTCTTGTTTTACTCTTTGTTTTCCAATACCAGAACCATAAACTCTTATCACCTCTTAAAAGTTAATGTTCTTTACCGCTGGCTTGATATAAATTACACATGAGCTAGAATCCTGATAGCAGGAGATATGTGTTAACTGTTTAAATTGATCATTCATTTCTTGGAATTCAGGCCCAGTGCCTGGGAGGGTGGAAACAAGTCGTTATTATTGTCAATGTAGTTACGGTCTTAGAACCATCCGCCTTCTTCCCGTGTTACCTGAAGGAAACCTGATGCTCTGTTTGCTTTGGTTCTTCGTTAGTAACCACTGAAAAAAGTTGAGAGGTAACATACCAATCTGGAACAGACTGGTTCTTGGTTAAAAGACTATACAGTGCTGTTTATGTAACTGAGTACAAGACACATTGCTGTGCTCAACAATTGCAGATACAGTACGCCTCGCCTTCTACTGTCTCTGGCACTCTGCTGGCATCTAGAATGTATTGATTTGCTTTTCTATTTCCATTGACATTATGAAAACCCTTGGATTTCTGTTTTGTTTTGTGTTCTGACCTAATAGACCAAAGCCTCACTGTTTCAATTGTGGTTCTGAAGAGCATCAGATGAAGGAGTGCCCAATGGTAAATCTCAATCTAAGCAGAGTGTCTTTGAACAAGAGCTGGTGGATGTTTTGTGCATGGGTGGCTCTGGGTAATGTGCATGAACTTCCTGTGCTACACTCATTTGTACTTTAATCTTTTCAAATTCATGTTTATATTTAAGACACTGAATACTCTATTTGAGGTGAATGAAGTATGAGTTAATTTTAGACAGTTTATTTTAAAAAGTTAATTTTGGGTTCTAATAACACTAAAATAATAAGTAGTTAAAGTGACTGTTCTTGTTTGATTTTCAAAAGTGCATGATTTTCAAAAATGCCCACTTTTATGCATCTAATCTACATTAAAACTAGAGCAATCTATGCTTTACCTTTTAAAAAGTGGTGAGTATTCTCAGTAAATTTCTGAGATATTTCTAAATTACTCAATACCATTCTTTTCGAACATTATTATGACTTAGCCTCGGAATGCTGCTCGCATAAGTGAGAAGAGAAAAGAGTACATGGATGCCTGTGGTGAGGCAAACAGTCAGAGTTTTCAGCAGCGATACCATGCAGAAGAAGTCGAGGAGAGATTTGGACGATTCAAACCAGGAGTTATCAGGTATCACTGTTGTTTTACCATGTGGTGTCACTTTTTATTTTCTTAGTATTTAGAACATTCTGTGTCTCTTGTGGGGATTACAAACATGTAAGAGTGAGCCAGGTGGTGGTGTGCAGATCTGTGAGTTCGAGGCCAGCCTGGTCTACACAGAGAAACCCTGTCTCAAATAACGAAAAGCAAATAGAAAAGAATGTAAGCAAGCTATAACAAGTCTGTACAGAATGCATCCATTCATTCAAACCCACTTATCAAAGGCTTACTGATGAAGTACAGGGCAGAAATGTTTTAGCCAGGCATGGTGGCTCATGCCTGTGATCCTAGAACTTGGGTGGCTGAAGAAGGACAATCCCTTTAAATTCTAAGTGAGCCTGGCTACAGAGTAAGAGCCCTTAAGAATAATACAGGTCTGGAGAGATGGCTTGGAGGTTCAGAGCCCTGACTGTTCTTCCTGAGGACCCAGGTTTGATTCCTAGCACTCACAGGATGGCTCAGAACCCTATCTGTAATTCCAGTTCCCAGGGATCTGACATTCTCTTCTGCCCTCCATGGGCACCAGGCGGACACATGTTGCGCAGGCACACATACAGGCACAAACACTCACACACATGAGAAAAAATGATAATAATACTTTAAAAAAGAAAGATGCCAAAATAGTGGTTTTGTGCAAATCTGAATTCATCATCTTTCCTCCTCTGTTTTGCTTAGTGAGGAACTTCAGGATGCACTGGGTGTGACGGACAAGAGTCTTCCCCCCTTCATCTACCGGATGCGCCAGCTGGGCTACCCTCCAGGCTGGCTCAAGGAGGCTGAACTGGAGAACTCAGGACTCGCACTCTATGATGGAAATGGTACGGTATGTTAGGAAAGAGAAGTCAGTTTACAGGTCCCCCACTCACCCCACCTTTTTTTTTTTTTTTTTAAGATTTATTCATTTATGTATATGAGTGCTCTACTTGGGTTTAGTTCCTGCATGAGAGAAGAGAACCTCAGAAAGAGGAGGGTGTCTGATCCCATTGTAGATGGTTGTGAGCCACCATGTGGTTGCTGGGAATTGAACTCAGGATTTCTGGAAGAGTAGCCAGTGCTCTTAACCGCTGAGCCATCTCTAGCCCCCACTCACCTGTTTTTAAATTAAGATTATTAGCCAATGGGCTGGAGAGATGGCTCAGCGGTTAAGAGCACTGGCTGTTCTTCCAGAGGTCCTGAGTTCAATTCCCAGCATCCACATGGTGGCTCACAACCATCTATAATGAGATCTGGTGCCCTCTTCTGGCATGTAGGCAGAGCACTGTATACATAATTAATAAATAAATCTTTAAAATAAATAATAAATAAATAAACAAAACCTTTAAAAAAAAAAAAAAAAAGATTATTAGCCAAGCCTTTAAGCCAGCATTTGGGAGGCAGAGGCAGGCAGATCTTAGTGAGTTTGAAGCCAGCTTGATCTCCTTAGCAAAATCCTGTCTTAAAAAAAAAAGATTCGCCATGCAGTGGTGGTGCACGCCTTTAATCCCAGCACTCGTGAGGCAGAGACAGGTAGATCTCTGAGTTCGAGGCCAGCCTGGTCTACAAAGTGAGTTCCAGGAAAGGTGCAAAGCTACACAGAGAAACCCTGTCTCAAAAAACAAAAAAACAACAACAACAAAAAGAGATTCACAGCAAAGTAACAGGCATGCATGCCAAGCCTGTTTAATGTGTGCTGGGGTAGCTGAAAACATGATGACATTTCCTGTTTTCCAAGGAAGGAACTAAAACTTCAATGATCGCCGGGCGGTGGTGGCGCACGCCTTTAATCCCAGCACTCGGGAGGCAGAGCCAGGCGGATCTCTGTGAGTTCGAGGCCAGTCTGGGCTACCAAGTGAGTCCCAGGAAAGGTGCAAAGCTGCACAGAGAAACCCTGTCTCGAAAAACCAAAAAAAAAAAAACAAAAAAAAACTTCAATGATCATACAAAATTATCAGGTGGTTTAGCTGGATATGAAGTGCACATTTGTCATCCTAGCACTCAGGAGGCTGAGGTAGGAGGATTGATAGTTTGAGGCCAACCTGCCTGAGCTGCATAGCAATACCTTGTCTTAACAAAAAAAAAAAAAAAAAAAAAAAAAAAAAAAAAAATAGGAAGAAAGGCCGGGTGTGGTGGCACATGCCTTTAATCTCAGAACTTGGGAGGCTGGTCTCTGTGAGTTCAAGGCCAGCCTGGGTTATACAGAGAAACCCTGTCTTGAAAAAGAAGGAATATCAGATCGTTATTTAGGTTTGGTCTGTGTTCTCTGAAGCCAGAGTGGGAAGCCTGCAGGTAGTCCTGAGAAGCTTTTAGCTTTCTTAGCATTTCTTAGCAATGGCAAGAGGCATGTTGCACTTCTGCAGTGATGTGGAAGGACAAAGGGAATTGACTGGGTGTAGCTCCTTGGAGAAATAACATGAGAGACCCTGCCTTATAGCAAAGGGGCCAGAGAGATGACTCAGTGGCAACAGGCACTTGCTGCCATGCCTGATGACCTGAGTTTGCTCCTCAGGATCCACATGATAGGAGAGGCCTAATTTAACAGATTTCACTGATTTCCACACACCCACCATGGCACAAATGTTTTAAGAATTTTGTTTTGTTTTGTTTTTTAGACACAGGATCTGATTGTGTTTTTGTTTTGTTTTGTTTGTTTTTGGTTTTTCATGACAGGGTTTCTCTGTGTAGCCTTGGCTGTCCTGGAACTTGCTCCATAGTCAGGACTCGAACTCACCTGTCTCTGCCTTCCAAGTGCTGGGATTAAAAGCATGTGCCACGGGCCGGCCGGGCAGTGGTGGCGCACACCTTTAATTCCAGCACTCGGGAGGCATAGCCAGGCGGATCTCTGTGAGTTCAAGGCCGGCCTGGGCTACAGAGTGAGTTCCAGGAAAGGCACAAAGCTACACAGAGAAACCCTGTCTCAAACCACTCCCCCCCCCCAAAAAAAAAGAATGTGCCACCACCTCCTGGCTAAATCTTTTTTATTTTTTGAGACATAATCTGTATCCCAGGCTGTCCTGGAACTTGCTGTGAGTTAAAGCTGGCCTTGAACTCCTGCCTCAGCCTTCTAAATGTTGGGATCACAGGTTGCCATGCTTGGAGCCTATTTAAAACTTGTAATGGTTCAGGACAATGATAGTCATTTCTAGACTAATTCTGATACAGTATCTCAGCACTTTCCTTGTGTGGTTTGATGTTGGGGGCGGGGAGGCAGGACGTGTTTAGTGTCTAACCTTGTTGACATTTTCTCTGCTCTCTAATAGATGATGCTGATGGGGAAGCAGAAACTGGAGAAATACAAAATAAAAATGTCACTTATGATCTCTCAAAATTGGTAAACTATCCAGGTTTTAATATATCTACTCCCAGAGGTATTCCAGATGTAAGTATACATTTTAAAATTTTTCTTCTGAAATGTGATAGTTATATTAAAGATTTTCCAAAATACTAATGTATGCAGCAGTTTGTTACTTAAGAAGCAAGTGAATTCGTAGCTAGACCTGATGGCGCGCATGTGTACTCATAGCACTTGAGAAGTGGAGGAAAAGTGAAGTTTACTGACGTGTTTGAATTTGTTAGACAGGTCTCGTGTTGCAGGCCAGCCTGATCGTCCTTCCTCCACTCCCAGATGCTAGGATTACAGATGTGCGTGCATCTGGCTCTGATGGACAGTCTGGGGAGCCAGACTAAGGTTATCAGGCTTATGCTGCAACTCCTTATGCACTAACTCTCCCAGATCCTGTGCAGAGCTTTTTAACTTACATTTTTCAGTACTGCAAATTGAACTCAGACAGTGCTAGTACCACACTGTCACTGAGCTAATCCCAACCTGGATCCTCTTATTAATTAGAATATGAAATGTAAAACTGTATATGTGAAAGTTGTGGGATTTTCTGACACTATATCTAAGCAAAGGAGCAAAAGTCGGTTTTTAGGCTCTATAATCCTAACTCTGCAACAAGCTCAATGGAGTCTGTACCTCAGAAGAGGACTTTGGCAGTGTGGTGTTGTGTGGTGACATGCCTTTAATCCTAGCACGTTGACAGGTAGAGGAAGGTGGATCTGTGAGACAAGGCTTTTCTGTGTAGTCCTGGCTGTCTTGGAACTCACTCTGTAGACCAAGCTGGCCTCAAACTCACAAATAACCACCTGCCTCTGCCTGCTGATTACTAGGATTAAAGGCATGTGCCACCTGTCTTGTTTGAGGTATTGAATGATGTCGTGATGTTCCTTCTGCCTCTTCCATGTCCTGGGATCTAAGAGTGTACCATTTAGTCTAGTTTTACAGTTTTTATTATTATTTTCTAGTTTGCATGCAAAGTAATGGATTTCATTTAACATTTCTGTTTTAGGGCTTTTGAGGGGGCGGGGGGAGGTTGTTGAGATGGAATCTCACAGTAACCCTGAAAAACCTTGAAGTCGCTGTGTGGCCCAATCTGGCATGGGATTTGCAGTGACCCTTAGCCTCATCCTCTTGAGTGCTAGGAGCAAAATCTTTGAAAGGTTATGTTTTCCAAATACATTCATCCTGTTTTTTTCCACATTAGGAGTGGAGAATGTTTGGTTCCATACCAATGCAGGCATGTCAACAGAAGGATGTGTTCGCCAGTTACCTTACTTCTAACATCCAGTCGGTAAACAGATTTGTGTGTGCGTGTGTATGATACTGGGAATTAAACCTAGGACCTCAGATGTGCTAGGCAATCTCTCTACCACTGAACTACATTCCCAGCCTCGGGATATAGATTTGAAGGGTGTAGTTGGTAAACATTTGTGGCCATGAGATTTTATGGTTCATTAGTATCTTACTGTTCTTTTTGGTTTATATTGTAAACATTGGTATCTGATTAATAAAGAGGCTGCTGAATAGGAGCCCTTTCAGCAATTGCTTGGGTCGAGACTGGTTTAGGTATGGGTTAGAGGTTCTCTGTCTGCCTTGTGTGACTTGTGTTCCTCTTGGTTACTCCATTAGCCAAGCATGAAGTCTGGCAGCAAGCGGTCTTCGTCTCAGTCCAGCCCTAACAGTCCAAAGAAGCAGAGGAAGGAAGGCAGCTCAGCAGCATCCCCTGCTGACATGGAGCTTGACTCGGGTACATTTTCTGGGTTTGATTTCTTGAGAAGGCAAGGTCAGTCTGTATGCTCCTGGGTCTGTAAGGCGGGCAAAGCTCCACCCCCCTTACGTCAGAGCATTGACATTGGTGCTGGTAAACCTGAATTGGAAACCACACTTGATGTGAGAGCCAGAGGGACCATCTAGCCAAGTCCCTGAAATTGGCAGGGTCAGGCACCCACAGTGCCACAGCTAGTCAGGCCCCTCAGATGGGGCTTCACTCTGGAAAAAGCAAAAGGAGGGCATGCACACCTCCGGCAGCTCCAGCTTCCAGAAGAGTTGAGCCACTGGGCAGTTACCTTTGTAGGTATATTGGTCCTATAAGTTAGTTGTCTCCCAGGGACCGTGTGCTCCTAAAAACTCAAAACAGGGCAAATCCTTGCCTCTGACATGATCCCGTGCTCAGCCTTGTGCCTTCCTTTTTCCATCCTTCCCATGGAACCTGTGCTTAACCAAGATCATGGTGATCCTGACAGGAAAACCCAGTTTCCACCTTTAGGAGCTCCTCCGACCCAGCCCCAACCACTGCTCATTTGTGTTTGCCTGAGTCATGGTTAATTAGATAAACTCAGGCTCTTCTGGACCCAAGGCTAACAGTTGTTTTCCACTCCAAAGTAAACCTGGCTAGTTTTGTCCTATATAGCAAGACAGGTGTTCTGAAATGGGGTAAAATGGCAACATGACGAGAAGATGCATAAAAAATACTGTGGTCATTGGTAGAACTGGTGGTGTGCATACTTAGCTTATGTGAGGCCCTGGGTTTGAACACCAGCACTGAAGGAAAAAAAACTTTGAATGAGGTACAAATAGTGTACTTTATTCCAAACTTGAATGTGAACACTCTCCATTTTCAAATTCCCAGGGAAAATTTAAACTTGGACTAAATTCCCTTGAAGTTCAAAGGAATTGAAGTCCAAAATTAATTACTTTACAGAAATTCATAATCTGTTAGGCTTGGTGTCCTGTAGTCCTTGGGTAACAGGCAGGAGGATTGTGGGTTCAAGTCTAGCCTGGTCTACATTGGAAGATCCTGTCCCCAAAAGATAACCAATTAAGCTGCCAGATCATTTCATATGGTATCATCATCTCAGCACAGCTCCTGAGCACCATGCCAGCAGGTTTCAGATCCTGGCCTTCTAGCTTTTGCAGCCTTACTTCAGTGTCCAGTCTGACTGCCCTCCCCAAGCCTTAATCTTTGGGTTGGTTGTTTTTGACATAGGAGCTCCTGTAGCTCAGACTAGCTTCAAACTTACTATGTAGCTAGCCCAAGCTGATCTTAAAGTTCCCACCATCCTCCTGTGTTAGCCTTCCAAGTCCTGGGATTCCAGGAATGATCCACTACACCTGGCTCTCTAGTCATAGAGTTAATAGGGAACAAAACTCTTAAGAGCCTTTGCAAGAGACCCATGAAAATTTGAAACAAGCTGGATGTGATGGTAGATTCCTATAATCCTAGCACTTAAGAGACATAGGCAAGAGGGCCTCACAAGTTCAGGGCCTGGTCTACATAGCAAGTTCTAGGCCAGCCTTTTTTTTTTTTTTCCCCCCCTTTCTTTTTTTTGGTTTTTCAGGATAGGGTTCCTCTGTGTAACCGGTTGTCCTGGAAATTGCTCTGTAGACCAGGCTGGCCATGAACTCTCAGAGATCCACCTGCCTCTTCCTCCCCAATCCTAGGATTAAAGATGTGCACCACCACTGCCCTGGCTTCCTCCCCCCCCACCCCCCCCTAGTGGCGAGGCAGTGTTTAAAAACAAAAGGGGGCTGCTGGTGGGATGGCTCGGTGGGCCCAGGCTCTTGCTGCCAAGCCTGATGACTTGAGTTTGTTCCCCAGGAACTGGGGTTACAGGCGGTTGGGAGCCACTGTGTGGGTGCTGGGAATTATGCTGGCTCCTCTGGGAGAGCACCCAGTGCTCTTAACTGTTACCGAGCCATGTCTCCAGCCCCATGAATTTTTAAAGATCATCTTAGCATGTACAAAAGGTCACGTGGCAGGAACCCTCCTGCCCAACCACAGAACAGGAAAATGGCTGCAGACACTGAAGCCCTTGACCTGAAGCCACATCCTGACCAGACCAAGCCTCTCTGGGTATCTTCTGGAGTCCCGTGAATCTGTTGTCATCTCCCAGTCCTTTCACTTGGCACTAAGTTACCTGTCCCCCAGACTCTGAATAACAATGACGAGCATCCAGTGACTGATGCTCAGGGCCAGGTATTAGAGCTACCTAGTAGAAAATCATACAGGGCAGGCTCTCTTATGATTACCCCCTATGATTAAGTTAAAGACTTTAGTTTGGGGACAGCAAAATGGCTCAGTAGGTAAAGGACCTTGCCACTAAACCTGGTGACCTGAGGTAAATCTTCAGAAATGTGGTAGAAGGAGAGAATTGGCTCACACAAGTTGTCCTCTGACCTCCATGTACAAGCCAAGACTTGAAGTGTTGTCATTCCCCCACCCAGTAAATAAATAAATGTAATAAAATGATAAGCCTGGTGGTGACTCAGCTTGGCTGGCTTAAATGCCTAGGCCAGTAGCCCCACATTTGTGGCAGGTACAAACTCATGAGCCACTGAGACACCCCAGCTTCAGTTTCAACCACCCATCATTCCCAGCTTCTTCCTTGAGAAGGAACAGGTAGCTCACTGAGTCAAGCCAGTTGTAGAGTATGTAATAAGTAAGGCTGTGTCACAAACCTGTGGACAATTATATTAGTGTGTGTTAGTGTGATAGTTTATTCAAATGAAATTTCTTACGGATGTTGTCTCGTGTCCCCGCTTAATTCTCTAACATTCGGTTATTTTATTATGTATACTTATATGTGCATGTCTGCACATGTGCCATCACCACCCTTATGTGGAGGACAGCTTGCTTTAGTTTTTTTACCAGGTGTGATCTAGGGATTTCGATCAGGTCATCAGGCTTGGCACTCACCTTTTTGTTTTTTCAAGACAGGGTTTCTCTGTGTAGTTTTGGTGCCTGTCCTAGAGCTCACTCTGTAGACCAGGCTGGCTCTGTAGACCAAGTGCTGGGACTAAAGGCGAGCACCATTATGCCTGGCAAATCTTTTTAGTTTTTAATATAATTTATCCTTAAAAGCAAATGAAGGACTGGATATGTAGCTCATTGAGTAGAGTGCTTGTCTAGGATACATGAAGCCTTGGGTTTCATTCCTTAGAACCACATAAAACCAAGTGTGGTGTCACATACCTTAACTCCTGCATTCCAGATGTGGAGACAAAAGAATCTCAAGTTCCAGGCCAGTCTAGCTATAAAAATATTCTATCAAAAAGTACTAAATTTTTAGTCAGGCATGGTAACATAGCTTTTATCCCAGTACTGGGAGGCAGAGGCAGGAGGATCTCTAATGTGTTCAAGGCTAGCTTGGTCTATAGCAAGTTCCAGTCCAACCCGGACTATATAGTGAGACCCTGTCTCAAAAAAGAAAAATCCAAAGATGATAATACTATATATTTTTTTAGTTCCACTATTACCCTAGTCACTACTCTATCACTTAGGGATTGTAGACTGTCACTGTATTTGAAAACATGTGATATATAATGAATGATAGGTAAAGAACAACAATGTGATACAGGTGCCACAGAGCTGATTACAGCCCATAATGATAGCAACTTAGAATTGTATTGAGGAGTGAAGTCAAGGACTGAGCAGGAAATCGAGCAAGGCAGGCCAGGCATTTGAGGTGGTAGGAGATACACACACACACACACATACACAAGCGTGGACTGTAGGACTGGTCCAGCAGCAGAGAAGCAAACAAGCTCTGTCCCACACGCCGAGCAAGTGCTCTGCCTCAGAGCTGTATCCCAGGCTCCTTCTGCTTTCTGTTCTGAAACAGGGCCACAGTAAGCTGTCTAGGCTGGACTTGAACATGGCAGTCCTTCTGCCTCAGCCGCCTCAGCTGGATTAGAGGCCTGCAACATCATCAGGCCAGGCTGTGAGAAATTCCTGGTCATGAAAAGACTTCTAAGCCTGGAGCAGTGCTGGGCTTCATTCTGTAGGGGAAGGATGGCACTCAAGGCTTTCATTGACGTGGAATGTTCCTAAGATGGAGGGGTGTTTTCGAAATAGATGTCCAGCTGACTTGGAGGATAGACTAAGGAAGATGAATCCAGAGGCGAGGGTGGTTGACTATTTCTGACAAGTGTCAGTGGATCTGGAATAAGGAGGTGAGCGATGCGGTAGAGGAAAGGGTGGACTTGAGGGAGCCTGGTGTCTGAGGTTAGGGCAGAAGAGAAGACTGCAGTTAGCAACAGGCTTCCCTCTGGGAGACTTTGTCTTCTCTTCTGCAGCCTTCCCCACTCAGGGACAGCACCCTCCTGGGAACTCCTCCTATCTCCATGTCTCATGTGTCCTCCGTCTGAAACTGTGTGTGTGTGTGTGTGTGTGTGTGTGTGTGTGTACACAGCGGTCGCTCTCCCAAGGTCTGAGTCACATGCCTTAGCACCAAAATCCAGAGCACGCACTCACCCTGATGTGCCTCCCTCAGGACTTGGTCAGAACTTCAGACATCCAGGCATGGTCATGGCATCTGAAAGTCACTGTTTTCCCTTTTCCTGGTTTCGAGACTGTAGGCCAGGCTGGCTGTTTGAGTGCTGGCATTTACAGCAAGTGCCACCGTGTCTAATCCTTCTCTGCTTTCTCAAAGACAGTTATTTGGGCCATTCTATCTCTAGGTACCCCAAGTTCAAATAATACATTTGTATGAAATGCATCTTCCCATTTCAGATGTGGAGGTTCCACCTGGTTCTCAGAGCAGCAAAGCCTTCCAGTTTCAACCACCCATGCCTCCTGGCACACCTCCTCCACTGCCACAGGGAACACCTCCACCTCTCTTCACTCCTCCACTCCCGAAGGGCACCCCACCACTGACTCCCAGTGACTCACCCCAGCCCCGACCCACAGCTGCAGCCATGGACGAGGACGCCCTGACACTGGAGGAGCTGGAAGAACAGCAGAGGCAGATCTGGGCAGCTCTCCAGCAGGCCGAGGGAGGCAACAGCGACTCTGATGTGCCTGTGGACACACCTTTAACTGGGAATTCAGTAGCCTCCTCCCCTTGTCCAAATGAGTTTGACCTCTCTGTCCCAGAAGGAAAGGCCCTGGAAAAGCCAGTGCTGGCTGAGCCCCAGGGCCCAACCACTTCCGCAGAGACAACGGGGCCTGAGCCTCCCTCCAGCCCAGCAGCAGGGGCAGCAGTGTTCTCTCAGAAAGAAGAGGAAGAAGCTGCAGAGGGGGACCCCGAGGAGGCTCTTGACAATGGCAGTGTGTCGAACTGTGACATGAGGAATGGAGGCAGCCAGAAGCTCCTTCATCAGGACACCCGGCCCTCAACAGCCTCCAAAATCCACAGCCTGGTGCCTGACATGAGCAAGTTTGCCACTGGAATAACACCCTTCGAATTTGAGAACATGGCTGAGTCCACTGGGATGTACCTCAGGATAAGAAACCTGTTAAAGAATTCACCCCGAAATCTGCAGAAAAACAAAAAGGCTTCTGAGTGAACGCGGGAGCAGCGCCGGCTGCACGATGATCTGTAGCTCTGCGTTGTTCTATCGGACTTAGATGGCAGGCGAAGTCGCTTCCCCCTTGTCCTCCCCACCTTTCAGAATCTGCCCCAGTTTGTGATCTCAGCTCCAGCCTGTTTCACAAAATGAAAGACTGGGCGTGTGAGTTTGCTCTTTTTCCTCACTGACGACAACGGCCAAGGAGGTGTGTACTGAGCTGGTTCAGATGTGGTTGGTTCGGGTTGTACTATTTTTGGATCGTGAGTATCTGTCAAGAGTGAAGGTTTTTTGTTTTTTTGTTGTTTTTAAATGTCTTTTGTAAATTGTTTTCCCTTTCTACATTTTGCTATTCTGTATATATAAGCTTAATATATCACTTTTTAAAAGAAATTCTAACAATTTTAAATTCACATTTCAATTCCAACAACCAAATGAGAAAAATCAGGGATGAGCAGCTTTATCCTGCTTGGGGTATTTTTGTAAGATTTTCATGCATGAATTTTAATATCACTCTTACTTTTTGTAATTTAATTATTCAAATCCAATAAAGGTGTGCTTACCTTTATGTACAGAGGTTTAATAAATTAGTTTTCTTACACGTGAACCAAGACTGGGTAGATGTGACTCACAGTTAAATTGTTCTTTGAAAATGGGGTGAAAATGATGTGGTTGCAAAGAAACTGCATGTTTGGATCCCAGCCTATAAACATATAATAAAATGGTGTAATATTTTGGGAAAAAGTGAAGGTCAGTTAGCCTTTGTACAAGATAATATTGTGCATTCAAGCTGTAAGGTAATAGTTAGACACAAACCGAGTGTGACTGCTCACTGTTAGTCTCTGCTTGGTCAAGCTCAGGAGCACTTGGGGACCTTGAGTTACTCATGCAGTGTTACCCTGCTTCCAGGCCAACAGAGGGCGAGAAAGGGAATCATTCTGGATTAGTCTACATCTCTGAGAACTTGAATAGTCCACTTGACTGGTTTGTGTACAGTAAAGGGAAGGATGACCACGAGAAAGGGCGAATGAGGCCATGCTGAAATAAAACGTTACGTACTTTAAGCTGGTTTTGTCATCCGAGTTTTACGTGAACTCTTCACAGGGGTTTACGTGACGTGACTGTGAGAACCTTAGCCTCTCTAGCAGCCCTGCCACAAGGAAGGAGGTCAAGAAGGCATAGAGAAGATAAGGGGTCTTTGTCAACATTAAAGGTGTTTCCCTTTCTCTCTCTCTCTCTCTCTCTCTCTCTTTTTTTTTTTTTTTTCTTTTGAGGTAGCATCTTGCTGTATAGCCCAAGCTGGCCTTATTCACAATCTCCCTGCTACTAACTACCTTACTGCTGGGATTACAGGCAAGAGGACATGATTCTTTAAAAACACACACACACACACACACACATTTACTTATTGTGGTGTGTGGGGGGGTCATTCCTTGGCATGCATATGGAGATTAGAAGACAATGTGTGGGGGTCCATGTTCTCTTCCCACCACTGTTTATCTTCATCAAGCTAGACAACAAGCACCCTTACCTGATAAGCCAGCTCACCAGCCTGAGACTGACATCGTACTTTTTGATCTTCCTGCCCCCACTTCCTAATTCCTGATTAAAGATGGGCACCACCACTCCCAGTTTCTGGGCTTGCAACCCAGAGCCCTGTGTGTGTGCTAGACAAGCACTCTACCAACTACTCTGCTTCCCCAGCCCCAGTGACATGACTCTTGACCGAAGATTTAGCTGGTTTCTAAATCAGAAGTAACTGTTTAGCCCTGTGTACTGGCTTATGCCTAGAATACTTCGCACTTGGGAGGAAGGCTGGAGGATCAGGACCAGCCTTGGTTACATTGCAAGTTCAGTTAGCTTGAGCTACATGAGATCCTGCCTCAAAAAAAAAAAAAAAAAGTTGTGTTGCTTTAACTGTTGTATTACTGGTATCCTCTGAATATTGAGATAGCTCAACAATTATTTCCAGTACATAAATGCCTTGTTATGGTATAGATTATCCATTTTCACTTCATTGAGTAGGCATTGTCTTTTTTTTTTTAAGTAAATGTCTAAGACATAGATGGTAAGCAACCTAATTGTAAATAAATTCCGATCTCTTGCCTCTGTATCCAAGTTCTTTTTTTAATTTGTATTTTTTTTTAATTATGTGTATATGTGTGCGTGTGTGAGTTCAGGTGCCCTTGGAGCCCAGAAGAGGGCTATGGATCCTGTGGAGTGGGAGTTGGATGCAGGTGATTGTGGGCTAATGGGCAGATGTAGGTGTTGGAAACCAAACCTGGGTCCTTTCCAAGAGCAGCAAATTTAACAGCTCAGCCATCTCTCCAGCCCCGAATCTGGACTTTTACCCACTGCCTTGCTTCCCTGTGAGAAACTCTACAAAAGTATTGGCTTCTCAAAAACTTAGCTCTTCTTTCTTTTTTTCAATTAGGGCTGGAATTTTTAGCTGAGTAATAGAGAGCTTCCCTGACATGAATGAGGCCTTAGGTTTGATTCCCCAGTACCAGGAAGAAAAGAATTGACAGCTGCCCACTGGGGCACACTTACTGAGCTAGGAGGGAAGTTTCCTGCTTGTAATCCCAGCACCGGGAGATTGAGGCTTGAGGAAGGCAAGTCGTGGGCTATCCTGTGTTGTGGAATAATCTCTTTATACACTGTGAAGATTTGTTACTTGGATTGGTTTAATAAAAACCTGAATGGTCAAAAGCCAGGCAGGATTTTTGGGGCACAGAGGATGCTGGGAAGAAGAGCAGAGATGCAGAGAATCACCAGCCAGACACATGGGCAATACAAAGTAAAGGTAGCCGTGTCATGTAAAAGAACATAAATGAAAAGAAATGGGTTAATTTAAACTATAAGAGCAGGTTAGAAACAAGCCTAAGCTATGGGCTGAGCTTTCATAATAAGAAGTCTCTGTGTGGTTATTTGGGAGATGGCTGGCAGGACAGAAGAATCCACCCACAATCCTGAGCTACACAGTAAGAGAAAAGAAATGCTAGAGGTCACCCTTTCCTTTGAAGGAGCTTCTGTGATTCATGGGTCTCAGCATAAAGCAGTATACGGCTATGGGAGAGCACAGACGGCTAGAGGAGATCATTGGCTTCAACTAGCAAGAGAAAACTCCTGAAGCAGTCCTTAAAGTGTAGGAAGGAGAATATTACAGGCCGAATGCACACTGAGAGATACAAGAAGGGCCAGCAAGATGGCTCAGTGGATAAAGGTATTTGCCACCAATGTTGAAAACTTGAGTTCAATCCCCAGGATCCATGTGGTGGGAAGAGAGAACCAAGTTGGTCTCTGGCCCCCACATGCACATCATGGTGCCTGCACACACACAATAAAAAAAAAAGAAAAAAATTTAGAGAAATATTCTGGAAATAGTAAAAATGAAATGAGTCAGAGGGATAGAGGACACTGGGAGAACACGGCCCACAGAATCAACAAAGCAGGGCTCATAGGGGCTCAGACTGAAGTGCCAACCACAGAGCCTGCATGGGTCTGCGCTGGTCCTCTGTGTATATGTTATGGTTGTTAGCATGGTGGTTTTGTGGAACTCCTGACAGCGGGAGTGGGGAGGTCTGACTCTTCAGCCTGCTCATGGGACCCTTTCCTCCTGGGTTGCCTTGCCCAGACTTGATAGGAAGGTTTGTGTCTAGTCTTATTGCACCTTGTTGTGCCATGTTCAGTTGATATCCCTGCGAGGACTACTATTTTCTGAAGGGCAAGGGAGGAAAAGTGGATCTGGGAGGGGGGCGGAAACTGTGGTCAGGATGTATCATATGAGAAGAGAGAAATATAAGAAAAAAGAAAAAAAATGCCAGGTGGTAGTGCCACACACCTTTAATCCCAGCACTCGGCAGGCAGAGGCAGGTGGATCTCTTGAGTTTGAAGCCAGCCTCATCTGCAGAGCGAGTTCAGGACAGCAAAAGCTACACAGAGAAACCCTGTCTTCAAAAACAAAACAAACAAAATTAATTAATGTGGGATAGATCCAGATTTGGTGGCACCTGCCTTGTCAACCTAGCAAGTTTGGGACAGCTTGAACTGATATGACCCTGTCTCCAGTTTTGTTTTTTTTTTTTCAAAACCAGGAGGCAGAAACAGGCAGATCTCTGAATTTGAGACCAGTCTGGTCTATATAGGGAGTTCCAGGGAAGAATACTATTTGTTGTGTTGGTTTTCAAGACAGGGTTTCTCTGTGTAGTCCTGACTGTCCTGGAACTTGCTCTGTAGACCAGGCTGGCCTTGAACTCAGAGAACCGTCCACCTCTGCCTTCTGAGTGTTGGGATTACAGGCTTACGCCACCACTGCCTGAGGATGGTGTTTTTAAAGACCTTGAAAACGGTGAGCGCTGAGACCCCTTCACTGCTTTGCTGTGTGTTTCAGTTTTTGAAGTGAAAGGACCTGTAAGGTTCTTCAGGGGGCAGTGACTTCATCTAAGTAACGTTATTCGTTTTCCTTTTTGAGATCAGATCAATTCCTATATCCCAAGCTACTCTGGCATTGCTGTGTAGCCCTGGCTGGCCTCAAAACCACTGCATTCCTCCTGTCTGAAGCATCCCAAGTGCTGGGATTAAAGATGTTCATCACCAAACCTGCTTCCAAGCAATGTTTAAAATCATATATACGGCCGGGCGGTGGTGGAGCACGCCTTTAATCCCAGCACTAGCTAGGCCAAGGCAGGCGGATCTCTGCGAGTTCAAGGCCAGCCTGGTCTACAGAGCGAGTTCCAGGACAGGCTTGAAAGCTACAGAGAGAAACCCTGTCTCGAAAAACAAACACACCAACCCATTTACTTTTCAACATGCGTGATGGGGGTTGAGGGAGGGGCATGCCACAGTGTGCGGGTGGAAATCAGAGGACAGCCTGTGGGAGTCAGTTCTCTCTCCTTCCCCCTGGTGGCCCTTGACCACAGAACTCAAGCCAGCAGGTGCCTTTGCTGCTCCGTCCAATGGCCCCTCAAGCCATTTTTTTTTTTCTCAGAGTTTCTCTGTGAAACAGCCCTAGCTGTCCTGGAACTTGCTTGGTAGGCCAGGCTGACCTGGAACTCGCAGAGATCCGCCTGCCTTGGCCTAGCTAGTGCTGGGATTAAAGGTGTGTGCCACCATCACCACCACCCACCCACCCACCCCCACACACACCACCATTTTTTTTTTTTTTATTTTTAATTATACGTCTGTATGTGTGTCTGTGCCCAAGGAGGGTAGAGGTCTCAGGTCCCCCTGGAGCTAGAGTTCTGGAATCTAACTCAGGTCCTCTGGAAGAGAAGTGTGTGCTCTTAGCCACTGAGTCATTTCTCAAGCCCCCAAGCCATTCTTTAAAGTGGATTAATTTTTGTTGTTGTTGTTGTTTTGTTTTGTTTTTCAAGACAGGGTTTCTCTGTGTAGCCCTGGCTGTCCTGAAACTTGCTCTATAGACCAGGCTGGCCTCAAACTCAAACCTCAGAGATCCACCTGCCTCTGCCTCCCAATTTAATCTCTGCTGAAATTAAAGGTATGTGCCACCACACCTGGCTAAGTAGATTAATTTTTTTTAAAGATTTATTTATTTATTATGTATACAGCATGTATGACCGCAGGTCAGAATAGGGCGCCAGATCTCATTATAGAAGGTTGTGAGCCACCATGTGGTTGCTGGGAATTGAACTCAGGACCTCTGGAAGAGCAGTCAGTGCTCTTAACCTCTAAGCCACCTCTCCAGCCCCATGTAGATTAATTTTTAAAGCAGAATTCAGAATGAATGGAATTTATTTTGATTTATTTATAATGATTTATTGGTCTTCATTAGTATTATTATATGCATTGGTGTTTTGCCTGAATATATCTCTGTGTGAGGGTGTTGGATCACCTGGAACTGGAATTGCACAGTTGTGAGCTGCCATGTGGGTGCTAAGAATCGAACCCGGGTCTTAACCACTGAGCCATCTCTCCAGCTCCAGAATGGAGCGTATTTTTAAAGACAGGGATTCATACCTAGGAGGGTGTAAGAAGAGGATGACGCTGGGCGGTGGTGGCGCACGCCTTTAATCCCAGCACTCGGGAGGCAGAGCCAGGCGGATCTCTGTGAGTTCGAGGCCAGCCTGGGCTACCAAGTGAGTCCCAGGAAAGGCGCAAAGCTGCACAGAGAGACCCTGTCTCGAAAAACCAAAAAAAAAAAAAAAAAAAAAAAAAAAAAATGAAAGAATAGGATGATGTTACTTCCTGGAGGCAACCCTCTTTTTAAATGGGCTCTGTGTGTTTGGGTGTCAGGATGAGAATGTGGAACAGAAGGAGGAGGGGTTGTTTGGACTTGTCGGTGCTGTGACAGGTCTCCAGGTGTGGGCCAGTGAGGTAATAACCAAACACTTCAAGACGGGCGTTCAGCAGGGGTGGGGATCTGTTTGTCAGGTGAAGTCCCAGAGGTTGCTACAACAAGGCCTGCTCTCATTATCTTGAGCAAAGGGGAAAGAAGGCACCACCCTGACGGGAACCAAAAGAGCTGCTGATGCTTTCTTCAGAATGCTCCATCTGCATTCCCATAACCGCAGATACCCTCCTGGGTGACTGCATTTTCAAGTTCTTTCCTAGAATGTTTTGATTTTTTTTCCTATTTTTTTTTTTTTAACTTTACATTTTTATCTGAGATGTGTATGTGTGTGTGCATGCAAATATCACAGTGCACATATAAAAGTCAGAAGACACCTTGTGGGAGACAGTTCTCTCCAACCACATGGGTCCTGGGGATAGAACTCGGGTGATTTTTGGCGGCAAGCAGCTTTACCCACTGAACCATTTCACTGGTCCTCATTTAATTTTTTTCTGTCTTGCAATTTAAAGAGTGCCATGAGCAGACAAAACCAACAAGAGTGTTGTAACCATTTTTAGTGCCCAAGTAGCTTCCAAGGTATGACTCAATTCTCTGAGATTACAATGCCTTCAGACAGCCTGTGTTTTCGGGATTTAGGAGAATCCCTTTCCCCTCAGTCTCTTAGGTTCATCTGTTATAGTGCAGATCACTTCTGACTGTTTAGGAAGAAGTGATTTGGGTAAAGGAAAGTGCTTACTGGTAGTTGACACCTGTAATCCCACCTTGGGATTTAAACACATGTGGGGCTGGAGAGATGGCTCAGT